AAGAATTAGAATATAATATACATGACTGTAGGAAGCTGTGGAAGGTAGGTGTAGTAAAATTTAGAAGACGAATGCTTACCTAACCTCTTGGAGCACATTTGGATACACTGTGCCCTACTGATGGTGGGTTCATCTGCCAAGAACAAGGTGCCCTCTAGGTGATCTCATTATTTTTAATTAAATAGATAGATAAATCTGAGTGCGTTTTTTGTTTTTGGCCAAAGGGTTTAACTAAAGCTTCACATGTGACAGAACTTCCTTAGCCGCTCTTATATTGCCCTTCTGAATATCTTCAACTATCTTATCTTTCCAGTATTTACCTTGGCTTTCTTTTTCCTCTGAGCTCTGTGGTTGGGTCATGATTCTGAGTTGCTACGTTACTATTTGATTTTAAAAAATGAGACACTCCAGGTAACACAGGGCTTTACAGTGTGTGTAAATAGCCTGGATTTGTGTGCATAATTGCTTGGCGTACAATACTCCAGCGGTTCTCAACCAAGGGTCCAGGGCCCCCTGAAGGGACCCTGAGCAGGTTTCAGGGGGTCCACCAAAATAAACCAAAGAGCAGGGCCGGTGTTGGACTTGTTGGGGCCCAGGACAGAAAGCTGAAGCCCAATCCCTGCCACCCAGGACTGAAGCGGAAGCCTGAGCAACTTAGCTTCACAGGGCTGCCTGTTGTGTCAGGCCCCAGGCCATTCCCCTGCTTGCTACCCCCTAATGCTGGGCCTGGCTTTTAATCTACTGTATGTGCAGCAAAACTGTTGTGGCAAAGGTGGGCCATGGAACTTTTATGGCATGTTGGGGGGGCCTCAGAAAGAAAAGATTGAAAGCCCCTGCAGTACGCTACCCTCTTACGCCTTCATTAGCCTTGGTAATTGGTATGTGTATGTAACTGGAAGCTGATTTTGGTTGACTGCAATAGTAGACCAATTAAATGGTTGAAATTTTCAAAGCTCCCCAAGGCATCTAGCCACACTACTTCCAATAATTTGAATGCAAATTGTGTGGCTGAACACCCTAGTTGGCTCTAAAAAAAATCTCAGCCCATGTTTTTTAAGTTCACAGGCACTGCCACCAAGGTGGGGGAAAAGAGGGAGAAGTGGTCTTCTGTCCTCCTGCCCACTGCCCAAAAAATAGCAGCATTCGCTAGCTTGTAGATGATCCCGACAGCACAGCTGCAGGGCTCGTGCACAGCTCTCAGATCTGGTCTCCCTTTTATTTGTTTCAGCACCACATGAAAGAGTGAACATTCTACTTATTTGAATCGGATATTGACCCATTATTTAAAAAAAAAAAAAAAATCCCCAAACCCACAGCTCGTTGGGCACATTTTTATTCCCCTTGCTGCAAAGCCTTTATTTTGGTCCTATCGTTCAGGGCCATATGGAAGCAAAAGAACGTCTGGACAAGATGTTGAAGTGAGCTCTTGTTCTGAACTGGAGCTTGTAGAGTCAATCATCATGTTGGGTGCGTGTGTACTCTGTGTAACTACTTTTCTGATGAATTGACCACTAAAATGTTAACACTGGGGGTGCTGAGATGTACATATTGCTGCCAGACTTTCATAAAAAAAATGTGGACTTTTAAAACAACTTTTGACTGTTTCCTAATTTGTATTTTCTTGCAGCATCAGTCTTGAACTTGTCAAGAATTGTTCAAAGGGAAATGTGGTGGTGCTATATGTTAATAAAACATATTACCAGACGTATTTATTACAATAATAGGTTTGAAATTCATCACCCCTTTATGTAGGGCCGTACCAAATTCATGGCCATGAAAAACGCATTGTGAAATCTGGTATTTCGTGTGCTCCTGTTCTATACATATTTAATGGGGGAGACCAGCATTTCTCAAACTGGGGGTCCTGACCCAAAAGGGAGTTGTAGGGGGGTTGCAAGGTTATTTTAGAGGCTCGTAGTATTGCCACCCTTACTTCTGCGCTGCCTTCAGAGCTGGGCAGCCAGAGAGCAGCGGCTATTGGCCGGATGCCCAGCTCTGAAGGCACCACCCTGCCAGCAGCAGCGCAGAAGTAAAGGTGGCAATACCATGCCATGCCACCCATAGTCCTGTGCTGCTGCCCTCAGACTGGGCAGCCAGAGAGTGGCGGCTGCTGACTGAGGGCCCAGCTCTGCAGGCAGCAGCGCAGAAGTCAGGGTGTCAATACCATACCAGGCCATCCTTACTTCTGCGCTGCGGCTGGCGGCAGCTCTGCCTTCAGAGCTGGGCTCCCAGCCAGCAGTCGCCGCTCTCCAGCTGCTCAGCACTGAAGGCAGTGCCGCAGGTGGCAGCAGTGCAGAAGTAAGGGTAGCAGTATCGCAACATCCCCTACAATAACCTTGTGATACCCCCCCCCAAACTTCTTTTTGAGTCAGGACTCCTACAGTTACAACACCCTGAAATTTCAGATTTAAATAGCTGAAATAATGAAATTTACGACTTTTAAATTCCTATGACAGTGAAATTGACCAAAATGGACCCTGAATTTGGTAGGGCCCAATTTATATGTGATATCACCTGTGGTAGGATTACATGGTAGAAGGAAAACACATCAAGGCATGCAGTCTGCGTTTGCCATGCTCTCAGGTTACAAGATCACAAGTACACAGATATAGACTAGAACTGCTCTGCCATTGTTTGGAATAAACACTTGTTGAGATCAACTGCATGAAAAATATGTATAAAAGTACATAAAGTGTGTGAATTTGTCCTTCTTGTTATATTCAACATACCAGGAAATCTTATTTATTTAACTACGTCTGTGTTTACGTTGTTGCATGCTCTTTGACATGAACTCAGAACTGTCTCAACTGAATACTTCATAGATTAGGTAATTTAGTTCAATGGTACTTGGATATCTCATTATGTGGCTTGACCAACCCTTTCCCTTACATCTGTCCAGTTTTAAAAGGAACACTGTCTAAAGAACCACTAACTCAGAGGTTCTCAAACTGTGGTCCATGGACCACAGTTCCCTCTAAGGTGCACTCCTGGGTGGCTGCCCATGAGAATGAAGGTCAGAATCCCTCCCAAAGGGGTGTGTATGTACGTGTGTTTTTGCCCCTCACTTTTAAAGTCCAGTTACCTTTTGAAATGCATTTTCCCTAATTAGTGGACCTGCGCAGGCGTGACTCCACTAATTAGGTGCTTGGACTGTGGAGAAGATGCACATGTAAGGTGAGGTGGTGAAAGGGGGGAAAGGGGGTAGGTGGGAGGGGGCAGTGGAGTGAGAAGAGGGGGTGGGGGGAATTTGGGATGTGCAGGGCTGAAAGAGACGACTTTCCCCAGCTCCAGGGCTGCGGCTGCCAGGGAGAAACGGCCCTCCTCCCCAGCCTCAGCTCTGTGGGTGCTGTGGCGGGGGAGACAAGGCACATCCATTGCCTTAGAAAGGTAAGACTGCTGATATTAAAATATGAGTAGTGTGCTTTTATTTGTAGAACAAAAAAACTTTATTATTAAGGGGTTTTTTTTTTATATAGCACTTTTATCCAAAGCGCCATAGAATAGTTAGCTAATGGTACAAACAACGCTTGGAAAGATCATTAAGTGGTCCGCTGACACCCTCAGCAATTTTCAAGTGGTCCGCAAAAAAAAAGTTTTAAGAACCACTGCACTAAGTGAATGAAGGTGTATAACACAATGCTGTTAAAGGCAAATGCTATTTTTAATGAGTCACCATTGGCCTGGCCTGGTACTGGAACTTCTTGACTGCCTTCAGCACGTCACGTGTATAGAGGCTTTTTGGGAGAAGGAATTCTAGAAACCAGATGGCAAGAGAGGGGAGCAGGAAAGGTTGATCTGCATTTTAACAAACAACATGGAACCTCTTTCACCATGAGACTCCATGTCTCCGTCCTCATGGTGGGAAGGAACTTTATCTAGGGGTGACCTTCAGGAAAATGCATTTCAAAAGGTAACTGGACTTTAAAAGTGAGGGGCAAAAACACCCGTACATACACACTCCTTTGGGAGGGATTCTGACCTGACAGTCTGGTCAGCCGTGTTGCTGGGAACACATGGTAAGCATTTCACCTTGAACTAAGTCTAATTTAAGTTTTAGTTACTAGAGAACATTTTATCTTTTTCTCTTGTAACCATTTGTGACTTTAACGCCTTGTACTCACTTGAAATCTATCTCTTTGGAGTTAAACTTGTTTTATTCTTTAATCAAACTAATCCAGTGTTGTGTGTTAAACTGAATTGTTTGGTAAATCCAATTGAAATAGTGAGTTGTATATTAACCCCTTACAGGGGCAATGAACCTATAATATCTGAACTGTCAAGGAGAGGGCTGGTCAGTGCCGAGCACATGTTTTTAGGGAAAATTCAGAACTAGGAGTGTGATGGGGTCAACCTGCAGGTAGGAACCAAGGCTGCTGGAAGCCAAAGCACGGCTAACAGGCTGCTGGGGTCAGAGTTGCTGGGCCAGGGCTGTTGCTGTACACAGACCTCAGGGTGTCACTGGCAGGCTGATTGTGAGTGACCCAAGTTGGGAGTTAAAATAGTAAAGCATTGTGAGACACCCAAGGTTGCAGGGTAGGTGGTGACACAACCCCTGACTAGGTTTCAGAGGAACAGCCGTGTTAGTCTGTATTTGCAAAAAGAAAAGGAGTACTTGTGGCACCTTAGAGACTAACCAATTTATTTGAGCATGAGCTTTCGTGAGCTACAGCTCACTTCATCAGATGTATACCGTGGAAACTGCAGCAGACTTTATATACACACAGAGAATATGAAACAATACCTCCTCCCACCCCACTGTCCTGCTGGTAATAGCTTATCTAAAGTGATCAACAGGTGGGCCATTTCCAGCACAAATCCAGGTTTTCTCACCCTCCACCCCCCCACACAAATTCACTCTCCTGCTGGTGCTAGCCCATCCAAAGTGACAACTCTTTACATAATCAAGTCGGGCTATTTCCTGCATAGATCCAGGTTTTCTCACATCCCCCCCACCCCCATACACACACAAACTCACTCTCCTGCTGGTAATAGCTCATCTAAACTGACCACTCTCCAAGTTTAAATCCAAGTTAAACCAGAACATATATGCCATCATGTGCCAGCAATGCCCCTCTGCCATGTACATTGGTCAAACTGGACAGTCTCTACGTAAAAGAATAAATGGACACAAATCAGATGTCAAGAATTATAACATTCATAAACCAGTTGGAGAACACTTCAATCTCTCTGGTCACGCAATCACAGACATGAAGGTCGCTATCTTAAAACAAAAAAACTTCAAATCCAGACTCCAGCGAGAAACTGCTGAATTGGAATTCATTTGCAAATTGGATACTATTAATTTAGGCTTAAATAGAGACTGGGAGTGGCTAAGTCATTATGCAAGGTAGCCTGTTTCCTCTTGTTTTTTCCTACCCCCCCCCCCAGATGTTCTGGTTTAACTTGGATTTAAACTTGGAGAGTGGTCAGTTTAGATGAGCTATTACCAGCAGGAGAGTGAGTTTGTGTGTGTATGGGGGTGGGGGGGATGTGAGAAAACCTGGATCTATGCAGGAAATAGCCCGACTTGATTATGTAAAGAGTTGTCACTTTGGATGGGCTAGCACCAGCAGGAGAGTGAATTTGTGTGGGGGGGTGGAGGGTGAGAAAACCTGGATTTGTGCTGGAAATGGCCCACCTGTTGATCACTTTAGATAAGCTATTACCAGTAGGACAGTGGGGTGGGAGGAGGTATTGTTTCATGATCTCTGTGTGTATATAAAGTCTGCTGCAGTTTCCACGGTATACATCTGATGAAGTGAGCTGTAGCTCACGAAAGCTCATGCTCAAATAAATTGGTTAGTCTCTAAGGTGCCACAAGTACTCCTTTTCTTTTTGCAAACCCCTGACTAGTCTGGGTTGCACCCAGAATTGTGATATGTTCCCATCTTAGTATCAGCTGCAAACTTTATAAATGTACTCTCTCTGTCATCTTGCAAATCATTTATGAAGATATTGAACAGAACTGGACACAGGACAGATCCCTCTTGATATGCCTTTACAGTTGACTTTACGGCTTGAACCATTGATAACTACTCTCCGAGTACAATTTTCCAACCAGCTGTGCACCCATCTTATAGTAGGTTCTTCAAGGCTGTATTTCCCTAGTTCGTCTCACATGATATTCTCATAAGCATTGTCAAGCCTTACTAAGGTCAAGATATATCACATCTACTGCTTCCCCTCTACACACAAGGCTTGCAACCCTGTCAAAGAAGGATATTAGGCTGGTTTGACGTTATTTGTTCTTGGCAAATCCATGTTGACTGTTACTTATCACCTTATTATCTTCTAGGTGCTTACAAATTGATTATTTTACTCCATTATCTTTCCCAGTACTGAAATTAAGCTGCCTGGTCTAGAATTCCCTGAGATGTCCTCATTCCCGTTTTTATAGATAAGTAGGTACTATATTTGCCCTCTGGGATCTCTCCCATCCTCCATGGATTCTCAAAGATAATTGCTAATGGCTGAGAGATCTTTTCAGCCAGTTCCTTTAAGTGTTCTAGGATGTATTTTTGTCAGGCCCTGCTGACTTGAAGATAGCTAACTTAACTTCTTCTTTCTCTATTTTAGCCTCAGATCCTACCCCATTTTGTTAGTCATCCAATCACTGTTAACCTTGTTGGTGAAAACTGAAACAAAAATGCATTTTGTCAAGTATCAGAGGGGTAGCCATGTTAGTCTGTATCCACAAAAACAACGAGGAGTCTGGTGGCACCTTAAAGACTTAACAGATTTATTTGGGCATAAACATCTGAAGAAGTGCTTTTTTACCCATAAAAGCTTGTGCCCAAATAAATGTTAGTCTTTAAGGTGCCACCGGACTCCTTGTTGTTTTAAAAAAGCATTTCACACTTCACCTATTGCTTCATTTTCTGTTGTCTTTTCCTCCTCCATTGAGTAACAGGCCTGTCCTGTCCTTGGTCTTCCTCTTGCTTCTAATGTATTTGTAAATGTTTTCTTATTGCACTTTTCTATCCCTAGCTAGTTTAATCTCATTTGATGCCTTGCTGGCTCTTGTTTAGATGTTTCGGCCCCTGCTGACCGTGGCTGATGAGTGGGTGGCCATTGTGAAGTTGAGGGCAGGTCCAGACAGTGCTTTGGCTTTAAAATGCTGTCCCTGCTGAGGGGGCCTCCGGGAAGAAAATCTTTGTCTATTTTACATGGTCTTGGAAATGCTTGTCGGATGTCAGTTGCATTCTTGGCACCTCTGCCTGACGTCCACATGTGCTGAACCATGTATCCTTTTAACCATAGTGTCGAGAAGGCTTGTGGCTGGTCTGGACAGCATGGCTTGGGCATGATCTTAGAACTGGCATGTAGATCATGAGCTCTTTGGGGTAGAAACTGTCTGTCTGCTATGGTTTGTACAGTACTTAGCGCAATCTTCGTTCCTGGTTGGTCCCTAGACACTACTGTGATAAGATTCCTAAGAATGGTCATCTGTCCCTGAGAATGTGATATACATTGATGTTAATTGCCCCTGAAGTTGGCTGGGGTGTGGGGATAACCAAGCCATGTGTCGTTAGTATGTTTACTGCTTTTCTATCACGCAGCCACCCTGTCCTGCCTTTCAAAAGGCAGTTCGTTAGGAAAGGACAGCAGCCCCTTTGAGGAGCGAGGAGAAGCAAACTTACCAACACCTTTACCTGCTGTCCCTGCTAACTGGAGGCTGCTGGAAGTGGACAGCTGGGGTCCCAAGGGAATCTCTCCTTCTTACTGTGTGTACTAATGAATACCCAGTTCCTTCTCACTGTGCCTTATGTAAGAAGGGTGATAAAGATATTTTGAAATCATCTTCTAGGGTGGAGGAGGGAGGGCTCAAAAGAACATTTCCACAGGAGGTGGGAACTGCAGAAGGGACGTTTGAGGTTCAGAAAGGATCCAGCTGTTGCAGCTGCTGCAGGCAGGAAAGGACAGCATGGCCCAGCAGAGAGCCTGTGAGTAGCAAACGACCCCCTTTCCCTATTTCTTCTGCCCAGCCCCAAACTCCTCCTGGTGGGGGGGAAGGGAGGGAGGAAGTGAGATAGATTTGCCTTTGCTGTTTCACTCACTGCCCCAGCGGGGGAGGGGAGGGGGAATGGGGAGAGGCAGATGTATTTTCTCTGCCCTATGTGGGGATGGAGAGGGGAGGATGTGGGGGGAGGGGGGAGAGGAGGGGTGTTAACTCTTTCTCAATGAGGGGTGAGACCTCCCAAGGATCTGTACTGTGGGGAGAGTCATTTGAGTTCAGCTCCTGAGCTCCGAGCTGTGTGTGAGGATGCACCACAGCCGTAGGCCCAGACAGGAAGCAGAACGGAGAAGTTGGTCTCATTTACTTTAGCTTAGAACAGCCCCCTCTGCCCATGGAGAGACCTCGCCCCCCCAGCATTTACCCCTCTGCTGTAGGCACCCTTCCTATTTGGGCTGGGGATGGCCAGCTAGGCTTCTGCTTGAGGGGTTTAGTCCCTCTGAGCCCCCAGGGGTGATTCTTCACCCAGCTGCTCCTCCCACCCAGACCTCTCTGCTCACACCACCAGTCCCTCTGACGCCCTGGCTGCCAGCAGTTCCCAAGCTGTAACTCCTTGTGTCTGCCCCCCTCCCTCCCCCCGGGCATCCCAATATATCTGCCTGGGGGGTCCCTAGACTTCAAGGGCAGTGAGGGCCTGAGGGAAGGTCCTGAACTCAGCTCCTGACCACTGAGCCGTGAATACATCTAGCTGGCTACAGCTGCAGTGGTGTGCCTCACGCTGTGACCCTGTCTGTTGCCAGCAAAGAGCGTGGGTCGGCTTAGTAGGTTCCTGAGGGGAAACCCATTAGTGAGCACTCAGCAGGTAGCATTTCTAGCCGAGTCAGCCCTGAGCCGATTGCCCAGGGGCCCTGAGCCGTTGGCATGAAAGATCCCTTGGCACTTTGGGAGAGAGTATGGCTTCTTTAAACTTGTCTCCTAGTCAAATTTCAAGTCAGGTAATTTAAGGGCTGCTGTGATGAGGTTGGTGATCGATTGTTCTCCATGTCCACTGAAGGTTGGGTAAGAAGCAATGGGCTTAATCTGCAGCAAGGGAGATTTAGTGTAGATATTAGGAAACACGTTCTAATGATCGGGGTAGTTAAGCTCTGGAATAAGCCTCCAAGGGAGGTCGTGGAATCCCCGTCGTTGGAGGTTTGTAAGAGCAGGTTGGACCAACACCTGTCAGGGATGGTCTAGGTTGATGTGGCCCTGCCTCACGGGGCTGGACTAGATGTCCTCTCGTGATCCCTTCCAGCCCTGCAGTTCTACTGTCCCTGCAGCTTCAATCAGACACAATATTCATGTCCTCTTCCCGCCTGTCGTCTCGTGCTGTGTAAGGGGTGCAGGGCAGGTACCGCTAAAACCGCTCCCGTGCTTCACTGCAGCAGCAGGAGCAGCTTGTCATTGGTCTGTAAATGACCCTTTAGAGTTTGTGATGTGCTCTGAGCCCCTTAGGGAGGAAAAGTGCTACATTAACGTGGGGCTAACGGTGCTCAGCCACCAACACGTTCCTTTCAGACCCCTAAATGAGCAGCCAGATTTCCAGGCGAGAGCAGTGGGAGTGCTCTTGGAAATCAGGCTCACACGCTGTAATGATCTGTTCCGTCCATTAGGTCAGGAGCAAGATGACCGCGCGAGTAAAGTGACTCTCTCCACGATGAGGCTCAGAGTCCTGCCTCCTACGGTCCTGCAGGACCCCAGAATGGAGAGCCTGAACCTGGACCGGAACAAGCTGAAACACGTCGCCGGGATCTCGAAGCTCGGCAACTTGAGAAAGTTGATCTTGTCCAAGAATGAGATCGCGGACTTCCCCGAGGAAATACAGAGCCTGGTCCACCTGGAGAAGTTGGAACTGAATCAGAACCAAATCCGAGTGATCCCGGAGGGGATCTTCTCCTGTCTTCCCAGGCTCAAACACTTGCGGCTGAGCAACAACCGCCTCAGTGCTCTGCCCAAGGACTTGGCCACCTGCAGCAGCAGCCTCCAGTACCTCAACCTGTCCAACAACTTGTTCCGAGCCATCCCCCAAGCTGTCCTGGAGCTGGTGAGTTTACAGGAGCTCTATGTGCAGAATAACACGTTGCGCCAGCTCCCCAGGGAGCTGTTCGAAGGGAGGCCGCTGAAGATGTTCAAGGCAAATGGGAACCCGCTGCGGGAGCCTCCCAATGAAGTCTGTGCTGGGGGCATCCAGCAGATCCTGAGCTACTTCAGCCAGCTGCAGAACTGCCATGTGGAGGAAGACAGGAGGGTGAAGACCATGTTCTTGGGGGCCTCGCTGGCAGGAAAATCCACGATCTGTAAGAGCCTGAAGCAGAGGCAAGTGGTTCTGGTGTCTGAGGAGGAGCGGACAGTGGGGATTGAGATCAGCGAATTCCACATCCAGGACTTCACGTTTCTCTTCTGGGACTTTGCTGGGCAGCTGGAGTACTACGTGACCCACCATGTGTTCATCACCCCACAGGCCCTCGTCATCCTGGTCATTAACTTCCAGAAGTAAGTGTTATGCAATGGGTTTGTTTGAAGAGCTCGCAATCTAACTAGCTCAGACAGGCACAGGGTGTGTGCGTGTGTGTGGGAAACACAGGCACGGAGCAGGGAAGTGACATGGCCAAGGTCCCGCAGCAGTGCTGGGGATAGAACCCAGGGCTCCCAAGGTGCAGTCCCATGCCCTGTCCACTATGCATGCTGCCTGCCCTCTCTGCAATGTGACTGCCAGCCCCTTGGATGGAGATCAAACTCCTTTTACAGAAGCCACTGAACAGCTGCTGTATCTAGTGCTGATTGTGGAATGTATAAGTCTACACCAGTTGGGCAGTGCCTATAGAATGATCATCCAGTCTCATGTATCCAACACCAGCTATTTTAGAGGAAGGTGTTGAGATAAGCCACTGTTCAGTGTATGTTGTCCTCTCCTCTGCCTCATCCATAGAGGAAAACGAGTCTGCTACAGACCCCAGTTAGGAGACACAGTCCTTTAGCTCAAGCTGTAGAGACACATGCTCTTTACTATGGCAGCGTTGTGTTCAATCCTCGGGATGACCCAGAGCAGATTGTCACGCCCTGCACTGGCAGTAACTGGCTGAGTGTTGGTTTGATTGATTCTTCAGGTACCAGCTCAATAATGACATCTTCCAGGAGCTGGTTGGCTTCTGGATCAATAACCTCTTCATGCGAGTCCCAAACTCCGTGGTCCTGCCCGTGGGAACCCACACAGACTGCTGCACTGAGGAGGAAGTGGAAGAAAAGAAGCGGGACATCATGAGCAAGATCCAGGCCATGCTGGAGGAAAGGAGGGCAAACCTCGCCCACTTCATCAACAACCTGGAAAGCAGTGAGGAGTCTGAGTTCTACGTGGACCAGTGGGACCGACTGAAGGAGATGGAGAGCTGCACCTTGACTGTAGGGCTATTGATTGGTTATTACACAGCACTATAGGTGTACACACTGCTGTACAGGCCAATGGGAGACTCAGTCTCTTTTCCAAGGAGCTTCTAGTGCTCAGCCCCAGAGAGGTTAACTAAATCTCTGCTTTTAATTTAATCTCTGGATCATGAGCCCATCACTGGGGTACCCCCAGGCTATAAAGAACGGTTATATGGTGAATTTTGTGGAAACCTGTATTAGTAGAGCTGCTTTATTTAAAAACAAGGTGGACAAAAAAGGGAGAGGATGGGGGAAATATTTAGCAACAAATTTTGACTCCTCCCGCACTTTTTCATCAAAATTCATAATTTTTTGTCAAGTTCAGAGTTTAAAATATTCTGTCCAACCTGCCTTAGTATTAAGAAAACAATTTCATTTTGTTTTTTCCCCTGATACTTTCTGTGTTTCTCTTTTCTTCCCCCTCACCCCATCTCTTGTTCTTGGGGACATCTTAATGAAAACAGAATTTCAAAGAGCTCCTGTGTCCCTGTGCCAGCTGCTTATTCTTCCCATGAAATTAGACCCCTCTGGGACACTGCTCTCTATCTAAGGCACCTATATGGGCCCCGAGTAGTAGGAGCAATCTCTAATATTTTAATCCTTGCAACACTCCTGGGCGGTAGGGAAGTACTATTATCCCCATTTTACAGATGGGGAACTGAGACACACAGGAATGACATGACTTGCCCAAGGTCACAGAGGAAGTCTGTGGAAGAGCTGGGAATTGAATCTATGTCTTCCAAGTCCTAGACCAGCACACTAACCACTGGGCAATCTTCCTTCTCAGCCCATGATTACTAGCTGCTTAACACCTTTATAAATGACAGACAAAACTCCCCCCAACACCACAACCCACCAAAATCTGTCAGCATTTGGCTTTCGTCACCAACTGAAGAGGACCTTGGTACCCGTTATGTATTAGTACTTGCTTGAGCATCAGGGCTCGAGCTAGACAGAATATGGCATATGGCGCCCTGAGTGTTCCATAGTAACCGAGTGCTTTCCTTCCAGATTTTAAACCTTGTTCCCGTCAATTGCACTAATTACTGGGATATTAAAAAACTTGAGACTACTATTTTGGAGCATGTCAGGAATGAAGAAATATTTCCTAATGTTATCCGAGTGCTGCCCCCTGTCTATAAGGAAGTGGAAGCGGCAATCGTAGATACTGAGCAGAGTGAGGGGACAGCAGAACATGGTAGGTGTCGATAGATCATCTCTTCTCCCCACCACCCTTTCCCACTGAGAGTTCACCGCGTTAGGGGACCTACGCCACAGCCACCATCTTTTTGGCTAAGGAAGGCTGGCCAAGGACTCCCTTTGATGCCCAATAAACTCACTGCTCCCTAGTCCACTGGAGACACGGCGGCAGTTCAGAGATTCAACACCGTTTCCAATCTAGGAGCTAAGCCGGTGGTGGCCTGTAGCAGTCCCAGGCGCTGCACGGCTAGGGGGTGAGAGATTGGGAAGCAAACCCCGTTCTATTGCAGGGCAGAGCATTGAACCATATTCTAGTCAATTCTGTCTTCCGTTTATTCCCGCGTCAGCACAATGGGGGCTGCGATTTCACTGTATGTCTAGTAACTAAGGAGCTCTGCTGTTTCCAGCCAGTGACATAGCAGCACTATCCCTGCACATGGCCAGCCTAGTTATGTTCTAAAATAGCCCACCTTGGATTAGCCTAGACCTAGAGAGGTTCTAGAGATAATGAGCAAAGTGTATCTGAGAACCAGAGACTGGGGAGGCAGCAGGATCTCCTGGCTGCAGTGTAGATCATTCCTGTGCCTGCGTCTATTGGCTCAACCTACAAGAGCCAGGGATGTCAGACACAGAAGTTAGGCTGAAATGCCATCTCGGTGCTCCAGGCTCTGTTCCTCTTGTGTGGATTTTCTCTTCCTGTGTTGTGCGGAGTAAGGGGAAGTGTAGCAGCCCCAATGATCAGTCTCCACTCTGGGCTCATTGGGAGTAAATAAGTCCATTCTTGTTTAAATTGGGCTAGATTGAGCTGCATTAAGTTCCTTAGAGGAACATATTGGCAGCGCACAGCCAAAGGCCTGATCCTGCAAACACTTCCTCATGTAAAGGGTTAGACTTCAGTGGAGCTACTAATCTGAGTAAGGACTGCTGGACTAGGTCCGTAACGGGGAGAGCTGTGTATTTCAGTAACCTTTTCAAAGAGCCTGGTACATATCTGTATACGTGTGCATATCTAATTACCTCTGGCTTGTTCTGAATACTCCTACCACAGCCCTGCAGTGAAATAGCTGAGAGTTGGACAAGCACCCTGGGTACTGTCATGCAAACAAAGGCACTCAGCTTCTCTTCTCCCCGCTCCCCGCCGCGCCCCACCCCCCACCCCTCCTGGTGCTTCAGGATTCCTGAGTCCAGTTCTGCCAGAAGTCGCCTTTGACCTGGAGTGGGATTTGCCAAGACCTGGGTGTTAGCACTGATATATGTTGGCCCTTTTAGGACTCAGCCTCGGGCAAGCACCCACACACTGGCATTTCAGCTGCTGTTTGAAACCCTGTGTTAATAGTGTCCATGTGATCCTGTTCTCTCTCTAGGCATAATGGACCTCAACCACTTACTTAGTGAAATCACCCGCCGAGAGCACCTGAGCCATCTGGGCACAGAGCTTTTCCGGGACATCCTGAGATACCTCCACCGCATCGGGCTGATTATATGGTATGAAGAAATCAAGCAGCTGGAAAGCACAGTCTTTCTCCGGCCAGCCTTTCTAATAACCATGTTCAAGGTGAGCGTATGGGTCCCTGTAGAACCCTCCCTCCATGACCAGGTTATTTCTCTGGGAAGCAGTGTCCTGCCTCCCTGCGTGTTCTGTTTCATGCAACCCTGCACACCATTGTCCAGGCACAAGAGTGATGGGTGGTTTGGAAAGAACAAGCCTTAAAGAAAGGCATTTTGCTCTCCAGCCATGCCTCAGTTTCTGGGGCAAGTCTCGGAGATGGTCTTACACTTACTAAGGCCTATCCGCTGAGTTTCTCAAAGGACTTTGCAAGCAATCAATGACGTCTAACAAAGTTGTGTGAAAGAGTCAGCATTATAGGTAAATGGAAGCAAAATACCTAAGGTCATGCTGCAAATCATGGACAGGAATAGAACCGACGAGTCCCTAATTCCAGTCTCCTGATCTAACCACTGTGATGTGGACACTGTCTACTAGGAACTGGACTGAGGCCTCTAATTTATCTTCACAGCCAGCAGATTTAAACATTTTATTAAAGCTAATGTTAAAATTATATAATACACAGGTTAAGGAACGAGTGTCTGCACATCTCGGTATAGTGCTTATCCACAAATACAAAGTTTGGTTTAAAAGTCATAAGATACTTATAGTGCATTATCTGTAGTAATCCAGATTTTGGTGAATAAATTTAACAATACAGTTAGACCCTGCTCTTACCAACCTGGCTTAGATGATCCTCTCCCCAGTCTCTTGAAGCCATCCAATAGCATTTGAATTTATCCTGAAGAGCGAATGAATGCCTCTGATTCGGATTCTCCTCCCCTTGCCCCCTTTTTAAAAATAGTCCTTTTCGGCCTCAGTTCAACTATGCAAAAAGAAAAGGAGTACTTGTGGCACCTTAGAGACTAACCAATTTATTTGAGCATAAGCTTTCGTGAGCTACAGCTCATTCATTGGATGCAACTATGGCCTCTGTTTTCCTCGTACTGGTGTGCGCTGTGTAGAAGGAACCTGGTCCCATTCCCTGTGATTGCTGGAGGAGCCTTGTGCCTGCTGTGTTGCAGGGAGATGAGGCTAGGAGGAAGGATAGGGTGCTAGCCGAGGACTTGGGAGAACCAGGTTCAATTCCTTGCTTCTCTACAGACTTTTTCTATGTGACCTTTGACAAGCTGCTTAATCTCGGTGCTTCAGTTGCCCATGCATAAAATGGGGATTAGAACACTTCCCTCCCTCCTCATGGGTGTTGTGAGGATAGATACAATAAAGACTGTGAGGCCCTCAGATATAATGGTGATGTGGGTGTTGTAAGTACCTAAGCCAAACTGCATCCATTACTGAAATCTTCCCTGGCTCGCTGAGCTTTTGTTCCTTCCCGTTCAGATCCTTGTTAGATATCGCCTGGTGCAGCAGCTGGAAAGCATCTCCGTGGACCTGCTGGTGGGAGAACACGCTACCATCAGAGACCAGTCCAACTGGGTGTGGACATTCAAGTCGAAGGCCATGCTGTGCCAGCGGGCCATGCGAGCCTTGGTCAAGCACCAGCTCTACTTGGAAGGGATGAAGGACGTCTTTGAGGAGATGGTAGGGCACAAGGCCCAGAAGGGGAAGCTGTTCAGCCTTCTGGAGCACTTTGAGATCTGCCTGGAGGTGAGGCATGCCAAGGACCTCAACCCAGGGGCCAGGGAGTTTGTGCCAGGGAAGCTGTGGGAAACAGCGCAGAACTGCCGCGAGGCCTATTACTTGTTTCCCACGTATCTCAACCAGAGCGAGGAGGTTTCTGAGAGGTGGGGAGGAGATCATCTGGAGGATCTCCACATCCGGGCCTACTTCTCACCTGAGATCCCAGAGGGCTTCTTCCAAAGGTAAGAAGCCAGCCCACTTGCCTTGGCCATGTGAGCTGGGGAGCCTGTCAGCGCAGGGGTCATTCCTTCTTGTCTGTCTGGGAAGCATGTAGTTGGTACTAGTATAAACAAATACATTAATTCATAGCTATCAAAAGGAAGGTTGGCCTAGTGGTTAAGGCCTTGGACTGTGCCTCAAGAGATCTGGGTTCAACTCCTAGCTCTGCCACAGACTCTGTGTGACCTTGGGCAAGTCAATTCATCCTCTCTCGGAGCCTCGGTTCTCCATCTGTGAAATGGGAAGAATGATTCTCCCTCTGTCTGCCTAGAGTGGAAATCTCTTTGGGTGGGTACTGCACCTGGCCCAATGAAGTTATGAACTCAACTGAGGCCTGCAGGTGCTACTGTCATATAAATTATTAATAATAGGGCATGTTAGCAGTGTACTGCCCAGGAATTCATAACGCATGGTTCTCATTTGTGTTGATTGGTGCTGCATGTGTAAGTCATTGCATATTGTTTTGATCACATGCCTCTCTATGGCTTTATTTCTATCCAAGCGGGTGTGCCAGTAATCCTGAAACGCCGGGAGTTGGCAAACCACATGCATGTGGAGATTTGTGCTGGGAGGTGGGTTCTCTGGAGCATTGGTCTCCAGCCTTTATGGGTCTGCTAAGTCATCTATTAGTATGTAGAAGAGCTGAACAAAGTAACTGCAGGGAGCATTATGGAGGGGAGAACAGGAAAACGGGGAGGACGCTTTCATAATCCCATTTGCTGAGCCATATTCTCTTTCACAAAGAGCCAGCAATGGCTGAGCTTCATCTCTTAGAGAGCCCTGTTCTAGAAGAGGCATATATACTGTGCAAGGACTCATGGGGAAGAGGGAGATATGGTCTAGCACACCCAAACTACTTCCACAGACCTAGCTTGTGCTCCTTGGAATCATCCCTTTGGTGGGGCAAAAACCAAACTCTGGATGCCATGGTGAAGGAGTGCATCTTCTACTTCATCTCATGAGCTCAGACAGTCCTGGGTGACTTGCTGGGTCATTGCCTTCCCCTTTGAGTCTGGCTGTCTGTGACTTCTGAGTTAGCACAGCAAAAAAACAAATCCAGCTAGGGTAGTTTACCTTTCTGGTTGATCTCTGCTTACAGCCGGGGCAAGGCTGAGAGTCAGAGTCATTGTAATATGAAGAAGTTGTGAGGTTTCCCTCCTCCTGCAGTTCAGCTGATCTTATACCCTGTAGGATAGCCCGTCTCCGAACCTTCACAAACACTCCTCTTCACCCAGTCATGGGGATGAGTTTGGACACAATGTGTCATGATCTGGATTCATCGCCTCTTGAGTTAATTATCAGCCATATCATACCATCCAGTCAGGATCTGGGGTTCCCCAATATTCAAAGGAACATCTAATTCTATTCTCACTGTATAAGTTTTTATGGTGTACTCATCACTGTAGTGACTACGCATCTGTCACTTGTTCTCTCATCCTCTCACTAAGGGAGAAGTATGTGTAGTGGAGTGTCTTGTTTTGGTGGTAATTTTTTTCTTTTCAGTTGGCCACCAAGCTTCAGTTCATGCAGCTTTTAGAGCATTGAGGGGTTTTGTTAACAGCTGGTGGGGAAGCTGGGCCTCTTTGCTGAATGACACACTAGAGCCCAGGGCATTTCTTCCCTTCCAGAAAATGAATGGCAGACTCAACAATCCATTCTAAAGTTTCTTATCTCTGCATAAAGAAGTGATTTGTACCCAACGGATCCATGTTGGCAAGGTAGCTTGTTCAAATCAGTGTCATCTTGCTGCATCAAGAGTGAGAGAAGCAGGAAGAGGCACTCTCCGAGATGCGTGTATGAATCCATCCATACATACTAATAATATTGTGGTTTGCCTGTGGGATTGTTAGCTACCCAACATGTACCAAGCACTCAGGCTGTCTGATGTATGGGGCAGCTATTTACTTTAGGAAGAAGCTTTTGACTGCTGGCCTTTCTAGGGCTAGAAGGGAAGGAAAAGCCAGCAAGAAAGAGAAACAAATGAGTGAGTGAGTTTGTGTGTGTGAGAGAGATGCTCTAGGAGAATGTGAGTCTTTGTCAGCCTCTAGTGGCTGAGCCTCAGAAGAAGTTAGTGCAGTGATACTCAGACCTCAGTGATTCAGGAGTCAAATAAGGGATCAAAAGAGCCAAAGGAGCATGAATTCATTGTTTCATTTACCACAGTACAATATCTTCATATTTAAAAGTATGACGGGGAAATATCTAGTGTGTGTATATATACACTAAATATTATATACTAAATAATACATACTGTAGGTGTGTGTGTTCTCTCTCTCTCTCTCTCAGCAAAATGACTGACCAAGTATTAACATTTTATCAACTACAATTGGTTAATAAAATAGTAAAAACATCCTGATTGGTTAATAACTTAGACTGGTAAATAATTAAATCACAGTGTTTTAATATCCTGTGCTGCAGAGAGACACAGGAGGTGCTTGTGACTTGCGAGCTTCAGTCCGAGTATCACCGGGTTAACGAGTAGGACAGCCCAGAAAACATTTCAATTGTTGCAAAAAATGCAGAGGCTTTGGAGTTTTTTGTTCCGAAGTGGAACGAAACTGACACCTTTCAAAATTTGTTGTGCAAAGAGAGACAGAGGCTCCTCCCACCCCAGACTAGCCAATGGTGATTGAGGCACAGACCTGGGATATGGAGACCCAGGTTCAAGACACTACTCTGAATCAGTCAGAGCAGGGACTTGCCTCACCCCTGAGTTCTGCACTATTCTGGGCACTCGGTCTGATTTTTTGACCAGAAATTCCATCCTGGATCCGAAGACCTTTGCTGATGAAAGTTTTTTCTTGAATCTGGAACATTTTCGCAAAAAGTTTTGATTCCAATGAATCTGCATGTTGAGTAGAAAAATTCCCAACCAGCTCTCTTAATGGGTCTGCTCCAGCTGCTAGCAATGGGTCTCAGTCCTTTCGCTCCAGCGGTAGATGCTCATGTTTTTAATATAGTATGAGAGGTCCCTGGTTCAATCCCCATTGTTGTCCCAACTGGGGTTGGCTACATATATTCTGGCAGCAGGTGGGGCTGAAAATAGTTTCCATGATGCTGGAGGGCAGAACTGTCTCAATCTTTTGGCTGATGTCTCTCCAATCTCATTGCAGGCTCATGGTGAAAGCTTGCTCCTTCTACTCGGCCCACTGGATTGCGAAGGTCACTTGCCTGCTCATATGCAGTGGCAAACCCTTGCTGATCAAAGAGAACAACCAGAAGGGCTATAGTTATATTGAACTCCGGAGCAGAAAGCCAGCGCAAAGGACAGGTGAAAATGAAGGCACTGATTTCTCTACTGAGTATGTTCTCTTTCGCTTTCCCTGGCCTGGGAGTGGAGGGTAGTTGTCCGCTTGCCATCTGCTTTCGTGTACTGCACCCAAACTCCCCTAAACAAACTGGCACTTGTGTTGCATGCTGGTCCAGTGCATGTACAGCATGATCCCCACTCTTGGTTAGCCACAGCTGGGTTGTGTCTCCAAGAGTTGAACTCTCTGAAGCTCCCTAGCCTACAGAGAACCATGTGACTTCCCCTGGCTTGTCCCATTGGAGCATCTCTCTCTAACCTGGGGAAACCCTGATTAATAGAACTTCCAACTTCTTAAAGATTTGGGTGTTCCCAAGATCTTAATGAAATCAGGGTCCCACAGTGTCTCTCTCAAAATAAACTGCCTGGGATGACAGGAGACCGATTCCACATTTAAGATCAGGTTGAGATTTTTCAAAGTAAACTTTTTTTTCTTCCCTTTCATTAAGTTTTACGTTTTACCTTGGCATGAGGAGCAATATCCTCAGACCGCATCTTCCCTGTCCTTGCTGGCGGGCTGGAGACAGAATTTTCTCAGCCTTCAAAGGGGAGAGCGAGACTGAAGTTTTCACAAAGGGAACTCTTCTTGATGTTTGAGTTACACAGACATTGACTCGCACAACCATCCCCTCCTAAAAGAGTTTTAAATATTCCCTCCCCTCCAACGGCTCAGTGTCTTAGTGTCACCGTTTTCTGGTGCTCTAGCAGAAAGAAGGGCCTCACTACCATAATGGGAATAAAAGCAGGAAAAATACTTTTAAATAAAAGTTTGAGGCCATAAACTCTGTTGGGCAAGAACTCTGTTTTTGTTCGGTTTATACAGTGCCTAGCGCCCTGGGGTTCTGGTCTATGCCTGGGGCTGCTTGGTGTTATGGCAAGACAAATAATAAGCAAAGAAGGGCACGACGTGGCTTTTGGGGACTGTTTTTTGGTCCACCTTCTGTTGTGGAAAACGAGTCACCTCATCTGTTTGGTTCAAACAGGCTAAGGTCCTTTTTATTTGAATACAAGCACGCAGGGAGAGGAAGACAGAGATGATCACACACAGGTGCCCCCTTGGTCTCTCTCTGCCCTGCCCCTAGAATATCAGCCTTCTATAGTTTTTTATCATTCAAGTCAAATGATACGTTTCCTTAATTTTTATCACTCAAGCATTGTTCATAAAGCCTCATAAGGAGCCAAAGTAAACAGGATCATAATTAGCACTGTGCTGACACACTTTGTCGTTATCAAGATCTGCAGTTTGCTTGTGGCAGCGTTTTGTCTAGGGGCTTTTGCAGGTTTGAAGGGGGGGGTTGCATATAATGGGCAGCTAGGGACTTGAGCTAGCCTAGAGGTTGGCCTAGTTCGTTATCTGGGTCAAAATACCACGGCCCAGCATATGCAAATGCTCTTAGCTTAAGCTAAGTCTTACAGGATGCCGGCCTGTAGGCCTCTTGCGTTACCACTCTTGCCTATGCTGCATATAGTGCATAGATCTTGTCACAGAGTGGGATGGGGTCAGGCCAACAATACTTTCCCCCACACTTTAAATTGCTCCTCCAGGGTGTCTAGTCTGGGTGAACTGGAAAGAACTCACCTGGTGCAACTGTTCGCCTATAACCCAGCCTACAAGCAACTCTTGCCTGCCCATTACCATTTGTGCTCTAAATGGGCTAACTCAGTCCAGGTAACTGTGATGATTAACAGCAGCCGGTTCTTTCCCTTATTCATCTAAAGAATTCCAGTTCACATGGGATTTTTTCATGGCGATCATCTTCATCATCCGGAAGCTCTCAGAGGAGTGGCCTGGTCTCCACATGTGCATGAAGGCACCTTGTCGAACGGCAGAATGTCCTGCAGAATTTTTCTGGCCAGATGTGGATGACAAGAACACAGTGTACGTATGTCCTGTAACCTGTTTTTCCTAGAGGAAATATCCGCAGTGGGGGTGTGAGCACCTGCTACCACAGTACAAATGGTGATCAGTTCTAAAAACAGACCCATTCTTTGCATGTCTATAATACCTTCCATCAGAGCAGAGCAAGTCACATTACAACGGTCTGAATCCTCACTGCATGCCAGTGAAGCAAATAACTACGAACCCCATTCTACGGAACAGGAAACAGAAGCGCCATGAGGTTAAGGACACAATTTTCAAACTTGGGTGTCCAACATTGGGTACTTGAACAGCTATGCAGCAAAGCACTTAAGTGTGTGCTTGACTTCTATTATTATTTGTTATTTGTATTGCAGTAGCTCCTAGAAGCCCTGGTCATGGGCCGCATTGTGGTAGGTGCTGTACAAACACAGAACAGACAGTCCCTGCCCCAGACAGCTAAGTAATTCAGCACCTAATCGTTGCTGAATCAGGCCTTAAATCCGAATTTAGGCATCCAAACCAAAGCAGACTGGCTTTCAAAGGGGCGGAGTGCCTCTGAAGTCCCATTGTTTCCACTGGGAGTTGAGTGCTTCTGAAAATTGATCCACTTTGATTGTGGTGTGTAAATAGGGATTATGGGTGGGATTTTTCAAAAGCACCGAGCCTGGTCTAACTCTGCTCCTTTTGAAGTTGGCAGTGACTTCAAGGGGAACAACTCTGAGCCCTTTTGGAAATGGGACCCTACATCTGTATTTAAACACCTAGCTTTGAAAATTGTGGTCCTTCTTTGAGTGACCTCTGCATATTCCCACTCCCCTATTGCCACCGGCTTGTGGCCCAGGTGTCTTGGTCCCACAAGCAGGAATATGCAGGGGTTCATCTCAAAGAACTCCATTTGCTGCTATGTAATCTTCATTTTAAGTGGCTTGGCAAAGGTCTCTTAGGAAGCCCATGGCAGAGCTGGGAATAAACCCCAGGCTACCAGTCTAGTATCTCAACTACAAAATCCTCCCTTTAGACCACAGGCAACATTTTCTCTCTCTTTTTTGTCCATAACATTTTAGAAAGAGCAGTTGTTTAGAAATGATTTGTTTTGAATCCCAAAGAGTCTTCCATGGCTGTAAAGGTGTTTAGTGGCACTTTAATTTAGTTTTTTTTCTTTTCCTTTCTTTTTATTTTAAGGACGAAGGAAGAAATTAAAACTTGTGGAACATGTGGCCATCGGTTTCGAACTGAGCTGCTTTTACCCAAAGGTATGGGCAGAGGGTTAGAATCCTGCTATAGCATAGGGGCCAGTTTCTGCCACAAGATGAAGGTAGAAGGATTTCCTGTGTGTCCTTGTACAAGGAGTCACTGAGGGTATGTCTGCACAGGGATAAAAGCCCCACGGCTGGCTCAGTCTTGTTGGGCTCGGGCTGCAGGGCTACAAATTGCTTTAGACGTTCGGGCTCGAGCTGGAACTCTGGGACCCTCCCCCCTCGCAGAGTCCCAACATTTGGGCTCCAGCCTGAGCCTGAAGGTCTATACATCAATTTTTCAGCCCTGGAGCCTGGGGTCAGCTGCTGTGGTTTTTTTTTTTTTTTTTTTTATCCCTGTGTAGACATACCCTGAGTCGTCGTCTTTCTTTGCTGTGCTTCTCCATCTGTACACTGGGGGTGCTAATACTTCCTCTGTCTCTGGTCTATGTAGATCATGAATTGTTTGGGGCAGGGCCTGTCATTCGCCATGTTTGCACAGCACCTAGCACAATGGCACCCTGATCTCAGTTGAGTCTTCTAAGTGCACAACTGTAATCAGATAAGCATGACCATAAGCATGGTCAGGGCTTACAGCAACACAAGGCCTGGGAATTGGGTTCTTATCCCAGCTCTGCCCTGACCCGCACAACCATTTTTCCTTAGTTTCCCCATCTGTAAAAGGCCCAACAATGCAGTGTCCTACAATCCATCTCTGACAGGCAGCTCCCTAGTGTTAAGAACTGCTCCTAATAAACTCCCAAGTTTCTCTGAGCCATTTTCCCCACTCTTTTTTATTTAAAGACCACTGTGACTTGGCGGCCAGCTCCTGCTGGCCCCTCGGCTGTTCCCTTACAACAGGCTTCTGTTATCTGCCTCTCACGTTCTGGCGCAGATGCGTAGCTGGTATAAATCGCCCTAGCTACACTGAAGCCAGCTGGCACTGGCTGAGGCTCTGCCTCCACTGCCAGGAGGGATGAGTTAATGTGTCAAGCACTTTACACTGTCAGTGGGGTGGGGGGTTTTGGGGATTCACTCCATGGCTGTGGCATGGCAGGCTGATGTCTCCTTCTCTTTCCTTTCAGTTCCAAGTGACCTGGAGGTTCCGCAGCCCCCGCCCCCTGCTCACTATTATGTCACTAGCTATGGGACTACATCTTTCGGCCCCAGCAGCATCCACGTCAATCGCCAGGTAACTTGGCTGTAGCTTTGCTCCTCATGTTTTGTTCTTGGCTTCTGGCTTCTGTTCTTTCTCTGTTGTGGGGAGCTGGGCTTGTGCTAACGCCAGCTCCCATCCTGGTCAATGAGAAGAATGGCCCAGTGGTTTAAAGCACCGACTTGGTATTTGGAAGACCCAAGTTCAATTCCCTGCTCTGCTGTGGATTCCTGGTGACCTTGGACAAGTCACTTAGCCTCTCTGTGCCTCAGTTTCCCATCTGTAATATGGAAATAATAGCCCGTCCCTACTTCCCAGGTGGGGAAGTGATCTATTGATTGATACACTCAGATACAGTGATGATCAGGGACAGATAGATGGAATTTTTCCATTGATTTTAAAGGGAATTAGAACGGGCCCTAGAACAACGAGGGAGCTGAACTGAAAATACCCACTCTGGAACACTGGTCAGATAGACTTCATAGAGCCGTCTGTTTCAAGCCCAGAACAGAGCGATGTGGTGGTCTCGTCAGACCAGCTGCATAACACAGTCCATAGAACCTCACCCTGTGATTCCAGTGTCAGTCATCCTGACTCAGCATTCGTCCTGATGTAGCAATCCTTCTTTATTAAGGAATACAGCTAGCTTGAAGGATGCCTTTCTGTCTCTGCCCCTCTTCCTGATCAGTCTTTCTGCGTCTATCAGTGTTGTTCCTAAATGACTGGAGACGCTGTATGTTTAGGCTGAGATTTTCTAAAATGGATGGGAATTTTTGGGCATCTAAATCCCCAGGTGGACTTTGAAAGCCCCATCCTTGATGTATATAAAAATCACTTGGGCAATGGCATGTTAGATTCTAAATCCATGGAAGTCAGTTCCTTTAAATGTGTAATGGGTGTGTAATCTGAGACCGTCCTTGCAGTGCTCAGCACAATTTAGATCATAGTGCTGTTGGCGTATATGGGGTGAGAGGGAAATTATGTCCCAAGGCGTTTATAATCTAAGGCTTCGGTTCTCCAAGGTGTTACCTCCCCATGGAGATTCCCATGGAATTGTCACCCAATGACCCTGTGAAGGGCCTGAGTTAATGAGGGTTACATAAGGAGCAAACAGAAATGAAAGTTAAACCCTTGCAGCATCGCTCTGCCAATTGCCTTGTGGATGGTTGAGCTGGCCTTGGTAAAAGCATTGTGGCGTGGCAGCCCTTGGTCATTGTTCCAGGGCAGCCAATAATTTTTCCCAGTTCCCAGCCTGCATAGTTGGGCTGGGCACTAGGGAAACTTGGTTGTGGGCAAGGGGGAGAATGAAGGAAGCGTCCTTTCGTCCCCACGCCCTTGGCATGATTTGGAACCCCATGTCTAGAGGCTACTTCAGCCCAGATGGCAGCGATCCCACCACTGTCCAGTGCAGGGAGCCCCTACAGAGCTTGGCCATCTCACGTGGGGTGTGTACCCCTTGTGTACTTCTCCCCTCTTGCCCAGTGGAACTGCACTGGTTGCATTACCAACCAAGGGGAACCCTGCTGTCTTGGGAGCTGGATGCACCTGGGCGCATCCTTAGCTGCACATGCACTCACAAAAGGCACTTTTCCAAATCTTCTCACTGTGGCTGTTGAGTTGGTCAGTGAAGAGGCTCAGGTCTTGCTTCAGGCTTTGGAAACCCCCCCAGTACAATGTGTGCTGCACAGTCTGGCACATGGAAGCAGCAACCCCCCCCGGATTTTTCCCTTGGAAGATGGAAATGCTGCGCTGTGAACAGCACCATAGAGCCAGGCTGAGGTTTGGTTTATTTGATTTTACTCAAATTCTGTTTTCCCTCCTTTCTGAAGGAGGCAGTGCTCCAGGGACAGGCACTGTGTACTTCTTGGACGCCCTAGGGGGCTCTGGGGTTGGTGGTCTGACAACTTGATAGTGTTGGGTTTTTTTTTTCTTTCTATTTAAGTGGGGTTCTGAACTGGAACTCCAGAGCCAAATACTCCCAAACTTTGGGCTGCTTAAACTTCAAGTTTCTTTGCTTTCTTGCAACAGAAGCTGCAACTCTGCAGTTACTCACTGTCTTTCTTATTTCAGAGTATCTTGGACAAATGACTCGGCCTGCCCAAGAGGTCCATTGAGAAGGACGTCCTTTTAGCCAAGACTCCTAGCGTGTTGAGCGCCACGCTAAGCAATCTCTTAAGCGCTCTGTACAGCAAGATCCATTTCACTGTTTGCAGTGTGTGTACTGGCGGTGTTGTGCAATAAACAATTTCTACCCACTGGAGGACAGTGGAATGTCAGTTTATTTACACAGACACAAGAGGGGAAAAGGGCACTTTTCCTGCCCGTGCTGATGCATAGATGAGCAATGTGAACAGAGAGCTTCGCTCACATCAGTAGCTGAAAGGTTTGCACTACTCAGAATACACACAAAAAACTGGCACAATGTATAAAAACTGACCTGGTGTTAGAAGAGAATTACAATTGGCCTCAATTACAGTTCTAAGAAACATTTCTTAATGAAGACGGAAAGAAGCTTTCAGATTTTGTGATCCCTTCAACATTAGCAGCTGGAGCCAAAGCCCACTGAACCCCTTTGGAAAGGCTCCTGTTAAGCTTTGGATCAAGGCCCTGTTTCTTCACTAAGAAACAATATTCACCTTATGCCTGTTAACGAAGAACCAGAACTTCCGGGTCTTCTGATTTGCTGAAAGCATGATTTGTGTCAGGAGCTATGCCAGTTTACAACCTCTGGGGAAGCAGCCTATTTATTCCATCATATGGGAAGTAGCAGTCATTAACCAAGTATCAAAAAGTACACTACAAAAATCCATATTTAATTAACACACTCTCACTGATTGCCTCCCAAAGGTGCAGTGCAGAGGCTGATCCATGAAATTTGATTTTCTGGCTTAGTATGAAGCAGCTGGTCATTAGTGTCCTTTTATTTCCTACTTCCTTCTGCAGTCCAAGTTGTGGAGAGAAGGAAAATGAAGGGCTTTAATGTGTTGCTTTGTGTGGAACTCCCATGATCACAACTGAGGTGTGAGAGAACACAATCAATCCCCCCTGTACCTGTGATGCGAGTTAGGCAATTTTTAAATCAAATCACAAGGGTCGTTTTATTAAAAAGGCAAAATAGTCCGTAGCACCCAACTCAGATCAGCTTGGCATTTCAGGGCAATAGCGAGAGGCCCTTCTACTGTACAGCTTGTACTGAGGCTGCCTCCCTACCCAGTTTGTGTCCACACACGCTCTTGGTAACGCAATCATGTTGGATACACTGTGCTTTGATTTTTCTCATGAGCATCATTATCAGGCTATAACTAGGTTCTAAATGGTCCTTCCTCGTTACAGCAGATAACGAGGAAGGACCATTTAGAACCTAGTTATAGCCTGCTTCTGAAGGACTGGCTTGTGACTCATCCATCCCTCCCACACACCGCACTAACACTGCGAGACAAGTTACGCCCTGTCAGGCTACAGTCTCGTTAACCACTGAGTGTTCTCGGGCTGTGCAATCCTTTCCCAGTGAATGCAATGCCTGCTCTACAGAGAGTGCAAAAACCCTCTGGCTGCATGAGACATGACATTAGAAAAAGGCATATTACTAAAGTCAAATGCTACTTAAAGCCTTCAACACCTGAGCTAGAAGGCACCAGACCTGCTGCTGCTCCATAGAGAAGAGGGAGAAGGGGCTTGGCACATCTTGCCAGTTGCGTGTGGGGCTGTTTTCAACCCTGCACACCTTGACCTGCTGCTTTCATGTCTCCCTCCTCTTGCCCTTGTCTATCTCCTCCTCGTGCTATAGGCAAGCAGCCCCTTGAGGCTGATTCACCTCCCCCTGGAATCGTTTACTTTGGCCACTGAATTCAACTGGAGCCAGATTAGACTCCTAAAGCCTTTCTGCTCATGCTGGAACGACTTCTGTGAGGCCAACAGCAGCAAAGACCAACCCGCTTGTGGTGTAAAACTGAACTCCAGTACAAGATGTCAGGAGAAGAGCCCCTCTCCACTCTCAGGCTGGCTGGGGGAGGGCTGGACTGCCACACCAACTGAATTACACCCTAGCCCATGTAAAGGGATTTGCCTCTATTTGGAAGTCACAGTTCAGCTGCAAAGCCAAAGGCCTCGCTAGCTGCTCAAGTGCTGGTCCTCTAGGTCAGCCCCAGATTGGACCCACTCAAACAGGTGACATTCCATCCAGGAGCAGGGAGTTGTACACAGACCTGCAATCACCTACATTTACTAGTGATTTGTGGGGGGCAGAGGGGTTCAGTTTGTGGGTGCTGGCTTGACACCTTAAAAGGCCTGACTTTGAGAGAGCAGGTGTTCTACATGTTCTGACAATCAGGCCCTTTTAAAAAGTGTCCCAGCGGGGCCCCCAAAATCACTTTTGAAAACTTAGGCCAAAGTCCATTTGGATGACACACAGAGCCCTGTGCTAATAAAAGGAAGCTAAAACATAAACATGCCCAATTTACCTAAGCAATAAAAAAAACCTAGGGAAAGTACCACAGTGGGGCAGGTGTTCTATAAATTATACTTTAATATTAGTGCTTAACATTCTGCCAGACACACCAGGTGAAATCCGGGCCCCTGTGATGTCAATGGCAGGACACCCGCTGAATTCAGCAGGGCCAGGGTTTCACTCACCCTTTGTAAGGTATGTTGGGCTCCATCAGTGCATAGGTTTGGGAAGACCTGCTTCCCTGATTTCTATACGCCCCCTCCACCCCTTCTTTTTTTTCTTAAAATGCCCTTGCCTGCTCAAAGGAAGGGCAGAGGATGAGACTTCCTGGAGTCCATTAATTTTTCTATTTAAATCAAACTTTCAGCTGTCAGTCCTTGAGACACTTGCATTTTTGAGACTCACAGCTCAGTCAGGATGACCTGTATAAAGATCCAAGCAGCCTTAAAAGGAAAAGGAGGAAGCAATTAGAGCTGCTGGTGAGGAGGCCAACCTCCGTGTGTGTGTGTGTGTGATACACGCACACATTGCGATGACCAAGTGGATTGCCACTCGTTTACGGCCTCACTCACCCTCAGTTCCTAAACTCATGGAATGCAAGAAATTTCAAATGACATATCACTGAAACTACCCAGAATCATATTAACACAATAAATATATACAGCTCAGAATTGTGGGCAGGCAAAAAGAGGAAGATAAGCTCGTCTCCCTCTTGCTGCTTTCCACAGATGCTCAGTGCTCAGATAACATGCTGATACTCAGGTGTCTTAGCAATAGCAACCCCTAAGCTAGGACAGGGAAGGGTCCTAAAGCTAACATCTGTAGTTGCTTTTGGAGGAAAACAACATCCAGTGTGCAATGTCAGTTTCATACAGGTCTCCTGTCAGAGTCCAGCCTGCTTGCCTGGCAGTAGTCTACAGCAGTCGGCCTTCCCCTACTGGTCCAGTGTTGGTCACGACCCAATGTCTTATGACCCATCCCGCCGCACAAGCGGCGTTGCTCTGATCGCACATCATCACTGTGGCCACTAGCGCAACTGTTCACATGGGCAGAGCACCGGTGGCACTTAGTGCCCGTGCGGCTGTTTGAAAGGCAATTAAGGTGTTGAGATTTTGGCTACACTGCAGTTAAAAAAAAATAAATAAATAAAAAAGCACCCCGCCTACACTCTGGGTGCCCCTGACAAGCATTCTGAAACTGTACTAAATAAATAAATTACCAAAAAAAGAAGAGGTGCAGGAAATAAGGAGCATGGTGTAGGCAGCCAGTGAACCATAGTTTAAGAACTGCTGGCCTATGCCCATTAAAACAACAGGTTACCCTGAGCATGTATGGTTAGGAAAGTGCCAGCTTTATGGATCTGTGCCTATGTATGCTGTGTGTTCATCAGATGACAGCAGGCCAGCGCGTGCGTGCTGTGGTGTCCAAGGGAAGCGGGACAGAAAAAGGGGTAGGGCGGCGGTATGGTGGACTACAGGAACATGGCATGTTTTTCTCTTGTGTGACTGTGCTTTGTGGGGCAAGAAGCTGGCAAAGAATGAAGTGGAGTGTTGTCGGTGTGACTTGGTTCAGGCAGTGACCGCCCCCTGCTCAAGGACGACAAGGAGTTGTAGGGCGAATGGGCTCATACAACACGCGCAAGGCCGAGCGCGGCTGGGCCTGCAAACTGAACTCAGGCAGAGTGTGGAGAGGTTAGAATACAGTGTTCGGCGCTAAACTTTAATTTATTAGCCGGGCACATTTGGGGGAGCAAGCTACTTTGGAATAGGACTGATCCTGCTCCCAGGAAAGTCAATGGCAAAATTCCACTGGGAGCAGGACCAGCCTCTGTTGTGGCTTCCGGGCCTCCCCTCCGCTACACTGTTCAGGGTGTTACTCATTCTCCTCGTTCCCCTCTCAATGCATTGGGGTAAGGGGAGGGCCTGAGGCATAGCACAGCTGTTTAAAGCAGCCCTCCTCGAGCTTGCTTACTTCAGCTGTCTGTATGCTACTTGGGCACAGCTGACGTGTCTAGCAGATCTACCGAACCATGGGTGCTTCCATTTCACAGATCTCTGACAGGCGAGCGCTTGAAAGGGACATAGCATGAGGAGAAAGTGGAATCTGTGTCTTCTATAGGGGCCTCTCCCCTGTTCCTAGCCCTGGGTGGGGATTTTTCCATAGTGGTCTATCAGCTGATTAAAGCTCAGATCCTCAAGTATTTAGGCTCCAAACTTCCATTCAAATCAATGGAAGTTAGGAGCTGTGGCTAAGTCACTGTCTGACGGATTAGTTCACCTTGTACCAACCCTGTGACCCCAGGAGAGCTGGCCAGGGCTACTGTACGACCCACCCCCAGGACTCCTGCTTCACTCACGTCAGCAACAGGCGGTGATAAGGATTTTTTCCCTGTCACCACCCTTCACTCAGCTTAAAACCCAGCCAGCTCAGCCCAGACAGAGACACAAGATCATTACATTGCAGTGCTGTAGATGAGTATGCCCCACCCCACTGTCGTTTCCCTCCCCCCCGTCGTTCCCCTCCCCGTGCACACCCTGACTTTCTTGCTGAACTCCTGAAGCAGAGAGGAAGATTCTCTTGCTTCTACCTTCAGAGCACAGTGTCTGGTAGCCTGTTTATTTCAGCTGGGGAAAAAAATCTCTATTTTCAATTGGTGGCCCTGAGTAGGGAAGACTGAGCTGTCTAGTGCTGTAATATCTGAGCACCTCACATACATTTATCCTCACAACCTTATGAGATAAGGAATTGTTCCCATTTTACAGATGGGGAAAGTGAGGCCCCCAGCTGCAGTGACTTGCCCAAGGTCACTAAGGAGGTGGCACAGCATGGACTGAACCCAGGTTTACTGAGGCCAGTGAAGTGGCTAAGCCACAAGGCCACCCATCATCTCACACACACACTTCCTGATGGGGGCAAACTGATGCAAGTGGGCAGGGGAAAGGCGGCAGTGTTTTCAAAGGCAGGCCAGTCAGGCAGAGACCTAGGCAAGGACGGGCCAATGCTGCTCTCCCACGTGCAGATCAGATCTTAGGGAGGGGAGGAGGTTCAGTCAATCTGCATGTTGTACTGCTCAATGAGGTCATACAAGCTGTTGAAGCAGCTTGACACCTGGAGGCTCACATTCCCGCTGTTCAGGGACGAGGCTCCCTCCCGCAGGGCCATGTCATGGACATACTCACAGAACTTGGGCACCAGCTGCAAGAGAGAAACAAACACCCCTCAGGAGGCGTTCACCTGTGCCGCCACATTGCTATGCATTGCCTCTTTTGAATGAGCCACGTGAATGGCCCCGTCAGAGCCTCCATCTGTTCCCCTGCCCCAGGGGGTGACTGCTGGGGGAGACATGCTCTGTCAGCAACGCCCAGAGACAAGGAAGTGAGGGCTTGCGGTGCAAGAGTGTGGCAAGTGCATCTCTCACCTGTCTGGCAACCCCAGATTCAGCCCTGTGCTGGCTGCAACAGCCTGCTGTGGGCTTTGCAGGCATGCAGAATAGCCAGGGTACAGGTCGGTCTTGGCCACAGCTTTTCTGTGCCTGATCCACCTCTTCCTTCCTTAAACTTACACTCTGCAGCGAGGGCTGCTGTGAAAGCAGCATAGGGCTGGCTCTGTGACTGGACCAAAGGGGTTTCTGCACTGGGGCTATTCCCTAGAAGGCCCTTATGCCTACGCTGCAGCCCCATCAGATCGGTCTAGGTTCTCATCTTGGTACCCGTCATGGTAGTGTCAGAGTGCTAAACGGTATGCGTTCCCACCCCTCCCAAACAGCGGCGAGCCAGGACTGGTCTGTGCATTGGCAGGGCTCACTGGAGGGGAATTTGGATAGTCAAAGAGGACTAATAATTAAGCTAGAAAGAGATGCTTAGTTACCCTCCCAGGACTGTAAAGCTTTAGAGGCAGAGGAGGATTCTCCACTTCTTGCCATGTGGCTGTGAAGCTGAGTGGGTGGGGGGGGTAAATCTCTCCCCGCTGGTTACTCAGGGATCTCCACTCAAGCACTAGCTCCTCACCAGCTACATGGACCCATGGCCACTCCACGCAGAAGAGGGGCGCAGCCTCTTAGCGGCTGCACGTCAACACTGAAGTCAGTGGAGCTGGCCATCAGTGAACAAACACTAACCCCTGAACCATCCCGCCAGAGACGAAGGATGCTTGGCATTTAGCCATCACTTCCCTCCATAGCTAAGGGAGAATGATGTTTCTTGGCTCACCTTCACTAGGATTAACATGGCCTCCTTGGGCTTGGATTTGGAGAAGCACTGCCCAAAGCCAAGGTAGATGGTGAAGTCGGGAGATGCAGCCCTTTGATGTTCCTTAAAATCCTTCAGCTCTGCAGAAGGAAACAGGATGGTTTTAGTAGCACAAGGACAAGGCAGGCATTGGGGTGGCTGGATTAAATAAACTGCCCTAGGATGGTCAGGGGACGGTGGCCACGAGAGGAGCTTTCCAATTAGGAGATTCTGGGGCTCCCTCACCCTTGCTCCTGGCCATTCTCTCTTCTCTCCGAAGCGCCCAGGCAAAACCTGGAGCCCAGTGCTTATGCAGGCTGGGCTCCGGCCCTTGGTCAGCCTACGCGCCTCGACCACACTGGAGCCCCATGGGGAAAACGTATGGAAAGTAACGTCTCTTGGAGTTTCTCTCAGCTAATCTAACTGCTACCCGTAAATCTGGCCCCATAGAGTAAGCCACACCCGGATGCAGACTCACCCTTTGAGAACACCTCATAGTCGAAGATCTCCATCTCGATGCCGCGTGGCAGCAGCTTGGGCTCAGGGCTCTGAGCCATGTTCACCAAGTGCCTGGAGAGGGCCCAGAAAACCTTGCACTTATTCAGGCGCTTGGCATAGATCTTCTTGTGCTTCTGCTCCAGCAGCAGTCCTGTGTTCAAGAGCAGCTGCCTGGTGAACTGGGCCTGCTTCTGGTCAGACAGCTCATCTGGGCTTGGGAACTGGACCACCTGTGTGCAGCTCGGAGCAAAGGTGGGGTCCTCGTTATTGTACGCGAAGAGGCAGCTGCTGGTGGCCACCTGCACCTCATGGAGCGGCCTCCCTCGGTAATAGATGGTGATGTCCATAGTGGGAGGAATGGTTTCTGCAAGAGACGAGGGAATGCTTGGACTATATAGGGCCTGACAGGAACAGGTGCGCTCTGGTTCCGAACAGGCTGCTTGCCAAGGGCCCGATGTAATGCTCACTGAAGTCAGTGAAGACACTTCCACTGACCTCAGTGGATGCTGGATTAGCCCCCAACATGCTGAGCCCATTGTCCCCATGCCCGGCTGCCACTGGTGTCCTTGTTGGGAGTCTCAGCAGAGCATTGCCTTGGCATTATGGTACCTGTCCATCCCTGCAGTTGGTCCCCATGGAACTTCCTGGATCCCCCTCTGCAAGCGGAGACGGGGCTGCGGAGATGTGGATGGGGGTGGGGCGGGGTATCTATTTCAAACCTGAAGCCGAGATGTCTAAACCTCCAAGAGAAGTGAAGAGGGCCCTCTAATCTAGGGGTGGGGTGGGAAAGGTCGGTGCCATTCGGTTCCAATAGCTGTGTTTTCCTAAAGCTTTGACAAGTCTGCCCCAGTCCTTGTTCACCTTCAGAGGGAAGAGGGAGGGGTGGGTGACGGATGTACTCTGTGCTTAGGGCAGGTCTCCTTCCCTGGGGCAGGCAGCTGGGGTGGTGTCACTGACCTGTATTGTTCTGCGATGGCACTGTGTTGGGGGGAGGAGGATGCTGCTCTGGGAGAGGGGCGGCCAGCAGGGTCAACCTGTTCTGCTCGGGGGCTGCCCACTGATTCGCCGGCTGGTGATAACTGTTCTCTCCCAGGCCATTCAGCGTCTGATAGATCACTGCGTTTCCTGCAGGCGCTTCGCTCGGGAAAGTGCTCTGGACGCCCGCGTGGTTATTGTAGTGAGGTCTCCCTGCAAACAGGACTTCCGCTAGGATGGAGAACAATAGGCTTGTGAGACGGGTAGGCAGTAACGAACCCGTTAGTTTCTGCTTAGCTCCGCTCTTTTCACCCACTCTCTTCTACAGTCCCTCCTGAAAACCCCCTGCTTTAAGCCCTAAACTGTCTGTCCAAAGGAAAAAAGGCAGTTTTTAAAGAGAAGGAAATAATATCATCATTCTGACAAACGACAGTACTGCCCAGATGCCCGCACAGCGTCACTGCTCGGTTGTTTTGCTTTTGCTGCCTCCCATCCTCCACATTTAGACTGGAAGCTCTTTGGGATAGAGACTGTCTCCCGAATGCACCTCACGTCCTGCTGGTGCGGGATGAGTAATTGCAAGGGAATGGGGGAAGTTTTAGATCTAGCAAACAGCTTCATTTCGGTGCTGAACGGGAGCTGAGCTCTTCTGGCAAACTGGCTTCCTGTGCAGGATCAGCTCTAAGTAGGCTTGGCAGAGCTCGGTGTTTATTTCTGAGAACTGGAGGATAATGGTGATTGTTTATTTTTAAGCATTTCCCCCCTCCCCTCCCCCAGTTTAAATGTTCACAGTTGTGGGAAGTGATGGGAGGGGGTCAGATGGCAGGGCAGGCCAGGCCAGGCAGTAATTCTTTAACGACTGACCTTGATTTCAAAAAGCTATAGCTTTATAACTGTTAGAACCCGAATTGTCGACCTCACTGGTCAAAATGTGCACAGCCCATAGCCCTAAACCAAACTCTCGTGAATTGTTCAGCAGAGGAAGAAAAATGCTGCTTCTCTGCACATTTCAATTTTTATCGATGGACTATTTATTCCTCGGTTTGTGTGTAGAGTGAAATCGATTACCGACATTTACCGATAAAAATCTAACCCTCCGAAGCCTAGTTCCATATCTGCTTCATTTGCTATTGGGGGGGAGCATAACCTTCCAATGATCCGACAAGTCTTTTCTGTCTCAAGTGCCTGTTTACACCGGCCAGCTCTCAGATAATGGGGATATACTGACCTGCACTATTAAGAAGCTGACTTATGCCAGGAACTGTTCTGGATGGGAGGGGCTGCTGTAGAAGTGAGGCCGCAGAAGGGTCGTAAGCATTTTGCATGGGTTGGGTCACCCACTGGCCAACGGGTTGGTGATAGTTCTCCACTGGTCCATTTGCCGCTCCGCTCCCCTGCGGTGGGTAGCCATTTTGGCCCATATGTTGGTTTGGATAGCCTTGGCTGTCTTCATATGGTACTTCCCCTGATGGAGGGGGGGGAGGGGGAAAGAAACCCAGTGTTAATTACCAGAGTTGGGTAAGGCACTGCAGCATGCTGGCCATTACATTAGACAATTCAATAGCTGCTGAGCGTGCTCGCTCTCTCCTTTTGGAAATGCTGCAAGATCTTCCTATTGGATAAAGCTTTACCATGGCAATGCCCTTTGCAGTATCCACCACTCCCCATGCTTCCCAACCCTAGCCCGAACCTCACTTTTGGGAATCCAAACAGGGAGGGGAGATGGATTTCATTGCTATTGACCGACCCTGACCTCGGGGGTTGATCCACCCAGATGCAACACACCCGATGTGGGTGAGTGGCTCAGTGCAGGGCCCTTGCTGCCCGCAGCTAGCATAGGTCTGGTCTTGGGGTGGGCAGGGTGAATGACCCTTGCCGTTTGTTTTAGTTTTACAGAAATGGCCCCAGAGCTTCCCAGCCTGAAGGTCAGACGTCTCAGAAAGAGCAGGGGGGATCCCAATCCAAAATTTGGCTTGCTTTCCACTGCTGAGGCAGGCATGGAACCTACCCAGCAGGACTCCCATGGTGTCACCAGCCCATCTTGCTCTCAAATCATCATGCAAGTCCCCAAACATAACCACCCCCCTGCCCCCAATTTGGGGCTCTTTTTATTTGCCTTCTGGTTTTGAGCCTCAAGTTCACGGTTTCAAGCTTTTCTCTGCAACCAGAAACTTATTTCTAATTTTTTAAATGAAAGGTGGGAATTTTGTCTCATCACATGACTCCAGGAGCTGGGGCTCTACAACAAGATATCAAATAGCCCAGGACTCAATGCTTAAAATCCTGAGAGTGGGCAACACTGTTCGCTTATGTGGGGGAGTCCCCAGCAGGAGCCAGAGTGAGCACAGCTGGCTCCTAGACGTCCTGCCAGCAGCGGGCATGCAGGAGGAAGGGGTCACAGCTGGAGCTCTAGCCTATGGGGCAGAGAATCAGAATGGCTTTTGGCTTTCCTTTCTCCTGGGCAGCCCTGGATGACTGTGTGGGGAAGGGGACTAAGTCCTTTGCCAGGCTTTCCTCCAGGACCCACACCGTGCTAGTCAAACTCCTGTCCCGCTTTCCCTACAGCTCCCATAGCCCCACAGGGAAGAGAGCAACCTCTCTCGCCTGTAATGCAGCAGGCAGCCAGCAGGGGTGCTGCTGAGCAGCTGCAGGAGGGAAGGGAGAGTAGCCGCTCCCCGTCTTTCTGGCTCACATCAGAGCTGCTGAGGGAGATGCAGTGGGCGTTGGCTGGGCAGCAGCATTCCCAGCACCTTGCTGCAGCAACCAGGCTGACACAAACACTGCATTGCAAAGTCACATGATGCTGCTCAGGGACACATGTTCGTTGAGAACCAAGTACGCATTTTCTTCTATGCAGTCGCCCTTGGCGCACAATTAAGAGCCTCAAGGGCCACAGGGTGGGGGCGGGCAACACCCCTGCTTTAGATCCTCTTCATTGTTTTTGCTTGGATGCTGTACAATAACCTGCCACTTGGTTTCTGAGCTGAGTACGTGGGCTGGAGCAGCTGTTGAGAGGGATACCTCCTAGGCACCTCCCTGCAGCCCATTGGCTTCCTGTCTGGAACTGCCCGCGCTGTGGGAGGAGGCTCTGCTGGCATGGGACGGTGAAGAACCACAGCTCTCGACGAGCACATCAGAAGGCAGGGCAGGATTCCCTCACCCCTGGAATACAATGGGACTGTCCCGACACTCCGCACCCAACATTTCTAACACAGGCCTAGGAAGTCACTGGGAGGTCCAGTGAGAGCCAGCTGTATTATGAAACATAGGTGCCTCTGGGTACAGCTCTGCTCTTTGGGGTCTCAGCCTACCTGAACCTCCATCCAGAGCCCACGGCAGCTGCTGCGGGCTGCAGCCACTCTGGGTTAAGCTGCACTGTTGCAGAATCCACTGGAGTATGTCGGGGCTGCACTGGTAGCCGTTTGGCACCAAATTATTGGTGGTGTAGCCCTGGGACAGATTCCTGCCAGGGTCGTAGGCTGGCCTTTCGTTCTGCACGCTGTCCATCTCTGTGGAGCAACAAGAGCCGAGGACGGTCTCAATCACATGCACGTCTCTATGCCTGTCACAAGTTTTTTCTCATGCACCTCTCCACCTGTCCCACTAGAAGCTGGTTTTCCTCAGGAGTTCGCTTTGCACAGTGGAAGCCTGCAATAGCCCTGCTCCTGCCCATGGGGTTTGGCTAGGACCTCACCATGCTGGGCCAAAGCGAGCTGTTGGGGGTGTGACACTGTTGGCCAAGGTCTGTCTCCCCAATGACCTTGGCACCACGTTTGAACCTGCCCGGGGCTGTTGCCCCTGATGGCATCACGCAGGGGTTCTTTGACAGACTTGTTGCCACAGACCCACCGACTATGGGGCAGTGTCTTTGATAGCTGGGTTAGAAATTGATCTTGAATAGGCTGGTTTTAAAGGCAATCAGACCACAGTCCAACTACTGGGCACTGAATCTGAACTGAACAAGGATTAAACTTGACTGCTTATTCGAGCAAAGGTTTATCAGCTCCGCCATATTGTTATTCTCTCTTATCTCCTTCCCAAGCATGTATTATGTTTATTCATTCCTGTTCTATTCGATTAGAATTAAATGCAACACCGACCTTCCACCAGAATTCCAGACAAGGTGGAAAAGCCGCAGGGCTATTGCACTAGGAAGCAACGACTTTGATTCAAAGTCTGTATGCCTCAGGATAATTTCCTGGCTAGTTCATCCTGCTTCCTGCCCCAGGGCATGTGGAAATGCTGAGAGACTCAACCAAGGTGCTGAATAGATCAGTGGCAGAGCAGGAAAGAGAACCCCGGGCTCCCAACTCTCAATCGAGTGCCCAAGCCTTCAGTAAAGAGATCCAATTCAATGAACAAACAATGGAGGAGCATAGGGCCATATGCAGCACCACGGTTTCTATTCTGGGTTTTATCTTCCGGAATCCAATCATTTACACTTTAAAAAAAAAAAAAAAAAAATCAGCAAGTAACTTACCTTGGGGAGGGTTTTCCAGCGACATCTCCAAATCTAATTCTATCTGCGGCTGCAAAACAAAGCACCCAAGACCATTCTCTTTGTTTTATTGGATTCATCACAGAGATGTGCGTGAGAAAGTGCATCAGTGAAGCAACACCCCTACAATTAGCTGGGCATTTCTGCACCCATTCACAGAGAGGCTTTGACCAGCGAAGTGGATTCAGCCATGGCCTCATTCTGTTGCTAGTCTTGCTGCTTCCCAGTGGCCCAGCAGAAACATGCAAGTCCCAGCTAAGGCCAGCCTGAGCCAAGGAGAGTGGCTACTCAGATATGCAGGCAAGCCAAATACGCTTTGCGTTCTTGACTTGAAGACGCATCCAAGAGGGAGGGGCTGAGAACCTGGGAGCCTGCTTGACACAGGGATAAGCACCCCTGATGCAAATGGTGGCTTTCTTTATGGACATGAGGGTTTGTAGCTATGTTGGCATATGGCCACTGGAGGCTGGAATGGAGACAATTCCCCCCAGTGTGATCCAGGGGCCAGATTCTCAGCTGCTGTGAATTAGAGCAGTTCCACAGCGGCCAATAGAATCCTCCCAGGGTCTTAGGCCTACATGAGAAAGCTGCACCAGGTTAACTTAAAACTGATTTGAACTAAACCGCTCCAAACAACTGGGTGGAACTTATTGCAGTTTAAGAGGAGCTTATGCTAGTTTAGCTTTAAACTGATTCCCAACTGACTTAAGCTAAACCAAACCAAGACTGATTTAAACCAAACCAAAAGTGTCTGCACAAGAATTTGCCCTGGTTTAGCTTAACTGATTTTGAATCACACCCTTAGTTAAATTTTAGACTTTTTCCTGTAGACAAGGCCTTTGACAGACACATGGTTCCTGGAAGAGCTGGAGGGGAGAGAGTGTGTCCTGAATGTGTGGATGTTTTCATGCCAAAATCAGAACAGGTAATTTTTATTCCCTCCTCACCTGAATCCACTGTGTGGATGAAAAGGTTACATGGTAGCAGACAAAAGCAGTTTTCCCCCAGGCAAAAACTCTTTCATTCCGTTGTGGAAAACTTTTTTCACACAGTGAGAAGACTGAGCTGGATCATCTTCTGTGATTGCAGCTCAGGAGCTAGCTGTGTGTGTATTTAGATCTGGTGTTGCAAACATGACTTCTTGCAAAAAGAGATGCATGATCATTCGCCTAGCTGTTTTCCTGGGGCCAGATTCTGTCCCTGCAGGGTATAAGCAACTCCCAGGGACATTGTCTAGAGACACATTCACATGGAGGGCTCTAGCAGTGACGTTGATTGAGTCAGAACTCTGCAGCGTGGGGGTGGGGAGTTTATCCCTGTTAATTTCCCATGAGCCACTAAGTTTAGTGAAACGTTATCAGGTTCTGATGATTCCAGGGCTCCTTCAAGCTTAGCACTTCCCCAGCTTCTCCCGTCCCCAGTTCTGGTACCTGCAGTTGCTGTGGCATATGGTGATGCAGATTAGGGGCTTCTTCAGAAGGGGGGCTGATGTCTTCTTTACTGTCATGCAGGTTATTGTCTAAAAGACAACAGCAAATTACACAGGGATGGGGAGGAAAAAACCAGTGGTTTAGCAAATGGAATTTCTCACACGGGAAGTTAAGCATGATCCATAGTTCCAAGAAGTGGGATTTGCTCAGGGCTTAAGGCCCATATGTTGAAAACTCTTCACTAATTTGGATTCCCTCAAGTTTAGGAGTTCAACTGGAGACACCAAGGGCCTAACTTCTCAAAGGTGACTGGTGAATTTGGGTGCCCAACTTGAGACACTTTGAAGAGGTCTAGTTTTCAGAGGGCAGATGCAGACCCCTTTCTCAATGTCAGGTCCCTTTACGGTGTTGAGTTGTGCACCCAAAAAATTAGTGGGCACTTCTGAAAATGTTGCCCTTAATGCCACCAGTTTATCCAGTTCTTCATGACCTTCTGCACACTTTGTTGGGAAGCCTTGAAAGCTGCCCTCATTTATACCTGCGTCACCATAGCCTTCACAGCTCCATTGACTTTACAGGGTAACGCGTGTGCAACTAAGTTAGAATTTGGCTCACGGGGTTTCCTCAAAGCAGAAATCTGCAGGAGAAGGGCAGTGAGATTGCCCTCGGAAAACATCCGGTACGGTTAGCACTTCTGCCCTACCAGCAGGGAGCAGCACTAAGCACCATGATCTCACGCCAACCATGTCACCCACAGTTCAGGCCACAGGCCCTAATTTTCAAGAGTATTCAGCAGCTCCCATTGACTGAGAACGCTAGGAGTTGCTGGGGGACAAGTATTTTTGAAATATTGCCCTCCCCTGCCCTGGTCACTTTTAAAGGCAGTTACCTAAAATCCCATCTCTCCCACATGACGCCACATTCTATTCAGACTGGATCTGGAGTGGTGCCAGGCAGAGAGTAAAAGAAAAGAGCTCCTTGCACAAATCAGAACCATGTCTGTCTGCGCCTGTCTTCAGCCTGTATTGCCAGCATCCTTACTTTTAGTAGTCGTGGCTTTAGCGGCTGCCACAGCATCGGGGCTTGGACTGATGATTTTATACACTTTGTGAGGGTCCTCGGAGGTCTTTGAGTTGTCCTGCATCATCAGGAACATGTTTGTGCTTCTCAGGGCGCAGCGGAAGTTGGCTTTCCACTTGGCCGGATCTTTCAGCTTTTCGTTGTACTTTCCGCTGGTTATGGCCCAGGCCTTTCCATAAAGAGAGGGATTGGGGGAGAGAAGACAGGCAGGAAGGCATTAGAGAAGGAGCAGTCTGTCAGTGCCGTCAAGCAGAAAGCCATGTTGATCTTAGCCTCACGGGCAGCAAGGCATGAAGATCTCTGTACAATTCCTTCCAAGCTCTCTATTAGCACCGTTGGTTTTTTTAAAGGATCCGTCAAGCACTTTGCCGTAAGTGTAAACCTCCTTTCCCGCCACAACCTCCACTCAGACCACTGTGGTGGAGTAATCTTTCCCTTTTTGTTACTGTGGTCCAGGACTCAAACACCCAAGAGCTTAGAACTTGACCCAGCCTCCTCCTAGGATGCCGAGGATTCTGGTGCTGATTTTAGCATGATTTCAGACATGTGCTCTGCCTAGGTGCATATACAGTCTCCCATCATCACAGCATCTGAGCATGTTGGACAGTGGGTCTAAATACAGACATGCAGCGTACAATGGAGAAATACTAGGCAAAATCATCAGTGGATCCCATTTTCCCCCTTCCCTTTTTCTTATAAGGTACCCCCTCGATTACTGTTGTTCTGGGCTCATTCATTACAATAGGCTACTTCCCAACTGCTCTGTATTATTATTTATTATATAATGGTAGTATCTGGGGCCCCATGGTGCTATGCACCATACAAGTATAGTGATAGGCCCTGCCCTGAATTGCCTACGATCTGTTAACACAGTTCTGTCCAACTCTTTGTAACAAGCCTGAAAATGAGATCTGTCTCCTGGGTGACTATTTTTGTTTTCCAAGGCACATGCCCGTTAATTGGCTGCCATGGGAAAGATCACAAACAAAAGTTAAGCAGAATCAACTGGGAGATTGTTTTGGCCTTTACCAGCCGTGACACTGCAACTATTGTAATTTTCAGTGTGGTCAGACAGCCCAGCTTCAGGATTTCTGAGGGCTGTTGCCAGCTCAGTCTTTGGGAGGGTCTAATCCTACTCTTAGCCGTGCCTAGTGCTGGCTGAAACTGGAATTCCCATTCTGCAGGAAATTCTGAAATTTCGGGGGGGGGAATCATTCTGAAACGGAACAAAAAAAAATGCAAGTTTGAAATTTCCCAGGGAAGGAGAATTCTGAAATTTCGTTTCAGAAAAGTGACATTCCAAAACATCATTCCAATCTTTTGGAAACCTTTCCCTAGCTCCCTGAGCTGCTCAGAATCCCAGCCACCCACCAGGCAGGGAGCGAGGCAGGTTGGGGAACCTGGAAGCGGGGGCTCTATGGAACTCCCCCTGGCAGGCAGGGTGTGATTAGGAACCTGCCTGGTTTCCATCAATATTTCACTGAAGTTGACACACATTCCGGCAAAATGTTTCCATTTTGACAAATCAGCATTTTCTAACAGAAAAACGTTCCATCTGAAAATTTCTAACCTGCTTGAGCTGAGACATTTCCTGTCACATCTCAACACAACGTTGTCCTCTCATAATGCTCAGAATTTATCTAGGAACCTTTCAATTGCCTGTAAGCTGCAGTCTGCAGGGAAGACCCCATTAAAATGTGGAAAGTCCAGGAAATTCCAAAAGGGGCAGAAGCCCTATTATGATGTATAGAAACAGTCTTTTAAATAGGAGGTATTTATTAAAGAAAATAACTGAAACGACAGGCAGAAACAAGCTTCCACGCTGCCTGAGTTCCAGCTTTGCCTTTTGTTTACTAGAAACCACGCTCTACTTAGAAACATTCAGCACATGGGGCCAGCAAGTGACTGGATGATGTACTGCAAGGGAACATGTTACAAACCATACCAGGGTCATCGGGGTCCTCCCACAGCCATGGGAATTGAAGCTGGTCATTATTCTGAGGCCTGGTGTGCATTCTGCCAAGGAACCCTTCTGTGCTCTGATACCCTGGTGGATGGATACTCCATCGAATGAAAGGGCACTAGCCAATTACTGCCCGGTGCCACACTGTGACAATGATGCATCCTTACAATCACAGAATATCAGGGTTGGAAGAGACCTCGGGAGGTCATCTAGTCCAACCCCTGCTCAAAGCAGGACCAATCCCCAATTTTTGCCCCAGATCCCTAAATGGCCCCCTCAAGGATTGAACTCATAACCCTGGGTTTAGCAGGCCAATGCTCAAACCACTGAGCTATCCCTCCCCCCAGTGCAATGGCATCACGCAGTGACACACCATTATAAGGCAAATGTCACAGAGCAACGTCAGAGCATTGACACTGATCGTTTTGCCAGTTCTTCTTAATTAGTTACCCTGGACTGGGACTGGCTTCTGCAGGAGATGGGGGTTGGTGGGGATGGGGAAAAGAGAATCATTTGGGATCCTACCTTGAAAATCTTGTAGTCATTAGGGTTGATATCCTTCCTGGAAGTGTGTTTCCAGGGGATGCGAAACTGAGTGTGGTCCTTGTCTACCCAGCAGAGCCCCTCGTAGTTTTCACTGTTGATCTGCTTAATCAGCCACCAGGCAAACCGTAATTTTTGAGAACCCCTGTAAAGACAGAGACAGAGGTTATGCCAGGCCTATTGGCCAATGGCAGATCAAAGACCAACCCCTGCAAATAACAGCAATCGAGTAATACCAGAGCCGCCAGGGAAGACATCTGCTGTTCCAGCTAAGTGTGTGCTGCTGAAGGAGAAAATGCAGCCCAAGGAAATGCTGCCTTCTCCCTGGGAATGAATGGGGAGGACAGAGTTGATCAGCTGCAGGTTTCTGTTGCTGGTGAGCGCAAACAAGCAACAGCTGCTAGGCATCTATCAGAAGAGATAAAAGCGCACACACAAGGTGGATGTGTGCAGTTATTCTGAAGAAACACGTTCACAGAAATGCTATAAATGGATTGTTAGTCAATAATTAATTAATATGAAAATTAGGTGCCTCAGTGCTGCAAACTCCCTGTGTGACTTGGGGCAAATCTCTATCTTCCTGGGCCTCCATTTCCCCATCTATAAAATGGGGATGACAATGCTTCCTTTCCCTCCCCGTGCTTTTTGTGTTGTGTACCTGGTCTATTGAGTACATCTCTTTCCATATTCGAACGGAATTATTGTGGGGAAGTCACATGGACTGTTATGTGATACATGGGCAGACCAGATGATCACAATTGTCTCTTCTGGTCTTGGAATCTATGAATTGATGAGTTTCTACAGCACTGTGATGGGGCGTCTGCCCCACACTGGCATCCAAGGGGTTAACAGGGCCCAAGGAAGGCTGCTCAAGAAGCAGCCAATAGGAGAGTGGCTGTGAGGAACAGCCAATCAAGGCCCAGCAGGCCCTTATAAGAAGAGTCGGGTCAGTTACTCCCTAGAGTGCAAGAAGGGAGGACTGGGTATCTGGCAGGCAGAAGGAAGCCTGCAGCCTGGACTGAGCTGTGTGGCTAGCAGGGACCAGAGAAAAGCTCCTGGCTGGCTGCTGGGATTTGCAGGCTGAAGCCCTGAGGGAAGGACGAAGAGGGTGCTGGGACCACGGGGAAGTGGCCAGACAATTGGCTGTAGTTGCCACTGGGAAAGTGGTGGGACGGTTAGACTGCAACATTTGCCCCTGGAAGGGGGGAACGCAGATCATGACACGTCCAGAGGGCTGGGTCGTGACGAGAATGCCGCAGTCCTTGGAGTGATGAGGGTCTGGGAGCAGAAGGGACACTGGGTGAAGCACCACTGGGAGTAGGTGTACTGACCCGCAGAGCTAATCCCCAAGACCAGCAGGAGGCGCCAGTGTGGTGAGCCCTGGCAAAGCACCTAGCACCACTGAGTTCCCATCTCACTTGGGCCCTCTAGGCTCAGATCCTCAACGGTATTTAGGCACCTAGCTCCTGTTGATTTCAATAAGAGTTAGAAGCCTAGTTACTTTTGCAGCTCTGGGCCGTGGGCACGAAGGGAATACAAATGATAAAGAAAGGGCAGGCACTCCTTAACTTAAAATACTTCACGGAGATGTTCCCATTCCCGTTTCCTGCAGCAGACAGAAGTGGTCATATTTCACACTTCAGCAAACCTGTAATCATGACAGTACTTTTGCACGGCAGTCTCACGTCCAATTTGGCAGTGGCGCCTTCCCTTTAACAGAGCAGCTAGTCACCGGGCAGCCATGTGCCACAGTAGACAGCCGCTTAGGTGAACGACGGCGACCCTTACAGCCCAGAGGGCCAGTCTCCAGCAGTTCCTTGGCAGATATCAGCCAGGCATGGCTGCCTTTGCTGTCCGCGGGAGATAAGCACAAAAGCTGTTGCCGTGGGATCCACTTGCTCAGGGGTGTGTCCTTTCCGGCCTGCCGGCAGCGGTTACAGCCAGATAGTGCAGGCCGCACTACTCCCACCGGCTTGTGTACGTCACCCAGGCTGCACTGACCGCACCCGCGTCCGGCTCCCCCAAAGCCACTTACCCCTCGCTCTCGGATGCGGCCATCAGGCAGCCAGTCTTGGGTTAATTGCAGGAGGAAGGGTTGGGGAGTTCGCTCCTTTGGTACCAAACGGAATTCTTGCGGGTGAATTGGAAACCTCCAAGCAGGACCTGTATGAACTGGAGGCAGATGCAGGGAGAGTCACTCACATTCGCCGCCATGATGGAACCCCAAATCAACTCCTGTGTCAGCACCGGAGCCCTCTCTGGGGTGTGCTGACAACCACTCGAGCAAGGCGACTGGTGGCTTTGAGCCCCGAGCCAGGGCAGGGTGGACGGCGGGGAGCTCGGTTGCCCAGCAGAAACCCCCAGGAGGTGCCAGTCTCAGAGAAAGGGAGGGGCACATGCAGCTGGCAGGCTTTGCTGGCAGATGGAGCCATTCCTCTTTGTACTGCATCTGCAACCCAGGTGCAGTCCCGCAGTCCCTCCGACTAAGAGCTTACAGACTAATGAACAATACTGCTGCTGAGGAACCAATAGTTAACCTGACTTGCTGGGGTGTTTCTTATAACGCTCCTCTCTAGCTTCCTGCTACAAACCACAAGGGAGGGAAGGGGATTTGCAGACATGCTGAACCCTCAGCCCTCCTTGAGTTTAAGAAAAATCTTCTGCAATTCATGCCACACCTTACTCTCCACTGTATTCCAATGTTACACAAGATCAGTCCCCCTTCCCCCTTTACTCAGCTGGTACCCATCTTCAGTAGAGGAGACGGCTAAGCTATCTCAGGAGCATCTAATGTCTGGCTCTTGAGCCAACCCAATCCCGGCAGCCTGTCTCATCCATGCAATATCAAATTCCCCTTACTGAGAGCTGAAGTGGTTCACAAGGTGAAGGCATAAGGTATTTGGGTCAGGAGATGCTAAATTCTAATCCTGACCCGATCTCTGATTTGCAGCATGATCGTGTGCAAGCTACAAATACCTCCATATGCCTTAGTTCTCCCGCCCCCACCTTTCTATACCTTAGTTTCCCCATCTGTGTAGTGGGAATAATGATTCCAACCTATGGCACATGGATGCTGCAGAGATCCAGCAGAGATATTCTAAAGTGCTTTTGCAAATGCAAATTGCAATGCAAGTGCTAAGTGAGCAACTATAACTGCTGAGGAACCAGTGTAAAAGTTAGCCTGCTGTTTGGCATTATGCAGATGGGAAATAATAGGTATTTCAATCTAAGCACTGAAACACCAGAAGTCTGTATTATTCCTTCTTCCCCTGAATTGCAAACATGGTGCAAATCAGCTGAGTAATGTATTGGTGACATTCATAGAGGGAAGAAAGGGGAAGCCACAGCTGCAGGCTGAGGCATGAGTCTCGTCAGAATATATTTAGCATTTGGAGATATACTTCTGCCTGCCTTTCATCTGAGGCGCGCAAAGGCCTTTGCAGATATAGGCGAACATGCCTCAGAGCACCTCTGCAAACCACAAGAAAACAGAGAGGAGGAGGAGGAGAGGGATCTGCAAAGCTACAGTTCATGCACCGTCAGGAATCAAAGTGTAGAAAAGGAATTTCTCTAGCTTCCATCCTCCAGCACAATTTGCAGCACTTGCATAAAATCTCTCTCTCTCACACACACCCCCTACTGCACTCACACACCCCAGTGCACGCACACTCTCACACGCCCCAGTTTATGCACACTCTCACCCCTGGTGCACCAGTTACCAAGAAATCCAGCCAACGTTTGTATCTCCTGGCACCCATTCAAAACTGCACTGTTGTTTCAAGAGAAGCTACTGAAGGCAGCTTTATGGGATTGTGATGAATTCTGCTTGCTTTTTCCACAGAAGCTGCCAAATCTCTTATTTTCAATTCCCTCCTCCCACTGCTCCCCAGCTCTAATCAGTTAATAGCATCAGTAAAAAACAGATCAGTTACCTTTGCTGTTACCAGAGGATGTTACCAGGGATTTTGTGAATAGTTGAAATATCAAAGTATTTCCAGCAACCAGTCTCCCTTTTATACTCTTCTGGACTATGTCGTCAGCCCAGCACATTGGCAACAGTGTTCGCGGGATCACAGCCTGTAGCCAATCAGAGCGGACCCTGTACCAAGACGGGGGTTAATAAAACAACAACATGAAACTTCTTCAGAGCATATTTCTAGTATAGCTGTGATGATGCAAGTGGTTTCTATTGGTCCTGCCCAAATATGGCACTTCCTTTCCTGGAAATCACATGATCTTCTTGAAAGTAAAAGTTTCATTTCTATAAAGCAACAAGTTTCAGAGTAACAGCTGTGTGAGTCTGTTTTCGCAAAAAGCAACAAGGCTCTCCAGAGGTGGAAGGGCCCAGCCAATCTGCTGGGCTATGTTTGCAAATGCAAATGTTACAATCAGCAGTCTCAGGGTGTCAGGGACTTCTCCAAAGCTGTTTCTGCAGCAACAGCAGCTCCTCCCAGCTTCATTACTGGGCACTAAAATTTTCTTTCTTTCTTTCTTCATATAAGATTAAATAAAACTGAAAATGGGAAGCTTTATATATATCATTTATACAACGTGTCCATGTGTCTTGTTCTGCAATCCCAGAACAGAAACTTTAATTAGAAATCCTGGAAAACGTGAAGGAATGGAGATTTTGAAGTAATTGGTTCTTGCTTTGTTTACCCTGTTCTGTAATAATTGCAGAAGTCTGTCCACAGCATTCAAAGCGGGAATCTAAACCTAGCCATTGGCTAATAACACAATACATTTTATGTAAAAGCCTCAACTTCACACAGCAATTATTAAACCTGTCTACCAGGTAAATGATAGCCTCTGACTCCTCATAGTCATTTGTGCCCTGCTGCAAAATGAGATCTGTTTTCAAGAAACTATTAAGTCAATACTTAATTACTAGTTCATTCTTTTTATATACCTTTTGTATATAAATTAAATTTGGGGTAAATACAGTATCTGAATATGGAGTAATATATAAGCATTTTCCTGCAATGCAATTTATTTGCCTTAAATTACTACTGTATCTAATTTTATGTTCACATGTTGGAAACCACCTTGGTCTATTTCCATGAGCAAGCACTTGCCTTGTTTAGCATTTTTCCAGTCCAAATAAAATCTGTTATAAGTTTTGCTATTGTCTCTAACATCACAAAGGGTGATACTTGAGTAACATATAATGTCCTTTGCAGGATTTCCCTTCAGGCTAAATTCAATATTAACAAAGTGGACAAGGACAAATACATTCATTCATCTGTTCAGATCAGTTTTAAAAGAATTATAAAAATTAGAGATGGAAAAGCCAAATTAGATTACTGTATCTTGTCCACCTTCCACCTTGCCGGTTCAGGATTGTTAGCAGCTTTGCTAAATTCTACTTGTCCAACCAAGGTGAGAGAAATATGAGTCACTTTTTTGTTCATTATTATTTTCATTCTTGTGGGAAAGGACAGATGATATTCTAGGTTGGCTGGTAAATTTTATTTCAATTTACAAGGCTACCTTTTGCTTTATTTCGTTTTACTTTGTCTTGTGTTTGGTAGGTTTCCATTACTTCTCTTGGGAATGGTGATCTTACCATTAGGAATGTTTCCTACTGTTAAACTGAAGTTCTTAATTTTGCCCTATTACTCCTATCTATTAGAGGCATCACCTACATTTTGGAATAGCTCCTCAGACCACAATAATCAATTATTCTCCTTGATGTTTACACTCTTCATGTGTTTTTAAACAGTTGTTCAGACACTAAGCCTGGGATATTCTTCCTTACACATTGGCAAAATTTATGTGACTCTGAAGATTCAAATACTTGAATCCCTTTAAAGGCAACTCATGTCCTTATCTCCTAGCAGGAGGGCTACAACAGTTAGTGTATTTTGTAAAAATAACTTTTAAAAATGGAAAAGGGACCAGAGTAATTGGAGATTGGCTCTTAAGCATGGTAACCTTAGGGTCTGAGATAAAAATCAGCATGTCAATGCTAAAGCATGTCAGTGCTAAGCATGTTTAACTCAACAAATTTATTTTAATACCCATCAGATCAAAATATTTTTTCATGCCTATGCTTATGGTCATGAAGAAAGATGGTGAGATGGAACAGCACCCAGATCAGCCTTCTGATTAAGGAGAATGTTTCTGTAACCACAATTATAGATGTAGGAGCAGCATGTAAAATCCTAAATAGGAATATGTTTCACTGGAAGGAATTCATATGTAACATGTATATCTACTGCTTATCTACCGTTGATTAAAATGGGGGAGGGATAGTTCAGTGGTTTGAGCATGGCCTGCTAAACCCAGGGTTGTGTGTTCAATCCTTGAGGGGGCCATTTAGGGATCTGGGGCAAAAATTGGGGATTGGTCCTGCTTTGAGCAGGGGATTGGACTAGATGACCTCCTGAGGTCCCTTCCAACCCTGATATTCTATAATTCTATGATTAATTGCAACGGAGATGTGTTCTCTACAAAACCAGGGCAGACAACTGAAACCTATCACCATATCCGCACGATCCCAGGAGCCAAGGTAACATTGAGACCCTACCGAATCCCAGCAGCCAAAAGAGAAGAAATCAAGGCCGAAGTAAAGAGAGTGTTAGAATTAGGGGTTACTGAAGAATCTTACAGTCGGTGGTCCAGTCCCATTGTTCTAGTGCCTAAACCTGACGGTACCACGAGATTCTGTCATGACTTTCGCCGACTGAATGAAATATCCCAGTTTGACGCACACCCCATGCCACGCATCGACGAACTGGTTGACCGACTGGGTAGTGCCCGATTCTTGACTACACTGGATCTGACAAAAGGGTACTGGCAGATTCCTCTGACCAAAGAAGCTAAAGAAAAGACAACATTTTCCACCCCGGATGGGCTATTCCAGTACACCGTCCTCCCTTTTGGGCTACATGAAGCCCCAGCCACATTCCAGCGCCTCACGGATAAGCTGCTGCGCCCCCATACTAGTTATGTAGCCGCATACCTAGATGATGTCATCATCCATACGCCAGACTGGGGAACCCACTTGGAGAAAGTTGAGGCAGTACTGCGCACCTTAAGGTGGGCTGGCCTCAGTATTAATCCCGCTAAATGCACCATAGGGCTAGCAGAGGCTAGGTACCTGGGATATATTGTGGGAAGGGGCATAGTGAAGACCCAAACGAATAAGCTAGAGGCAATTCAAAACTGGCCCTGGCCGACCCAAAAGAAGCAGGTCCGTGCGTTCCTAGGCGTGGTAGGCTACTACCGACATTTTATTCCCCACTTCACCACTAGGGCAAGTCCCCTAACGGACCTGGTGAAGGCCCGAGGTCCAGATACGGTAAAGTGGACCGACGCAGCAGAGTGGGCATTCACAGACCTTCGGACGGCCCTCTGTACTCACAGCCCCAGACTTTAACAGGGAATTTATTTTACAAACAGACACTTCCGAGGTGGGGTTGGGGGCAGTTCTGTCGCAAATGGTGGGAGAAGAGGAATACCCGATCCTCTACCTAAGTCGAAAGCTTTTCCCAAGAGAATAGAAATGTGCAGTAGTCGAGAGAGAATGCCTTGCTGTCAAATGGACTATGGAGACACTGCGTTATTACCTCTTAGGCCAGCGATTTACTCTTGTGACGGACCATGCACCCCTCCAGTGGATGCAGCGGAATAAGGAAAAGAATGCAAGGGTCACCAGTTGGTTCTTATCCCTGCAACCATTCCAGTTCTGCATACGGCACAGGGCTGGATGCCACTATGGCAACGCTGATGGTCTGTCACGAGCATACTGCCTGGCATCCCTAGTTGCCCAACTCTATGGTGTTGAGCGGGGGGGGGGGAGGAGATATGTGACGGGGCAAGGCCAGATGGCTATGGAAAAGTAGTGGGAGATAGATATATTAGCTCCAGGCTAAACAAATCCCTGGTACCAGGTTAAGTGAAATGGCAGCTGCTCCAGGTCAATTAAGACACCTGGGGCCAATTAAGAACTTTCCAGAAGGCAGGGAGAATGCTAGGTTGATTGGGACACCTGAAGCCAGTCAGGGGCTGGCTGAAACTAGTTAAAAGCCTCCCAGTTAGTCAGGTGGTGTGCATGTCAGGAGCTGTGAGAGGAAGTTGCGCTGTTGGAGAAGCTGAGTAGAACACACCATATCAGGCACAAGGAAGGAGACCCTGAGGTAAGGGTGAAGTGGAGCTTGAGGAAGCGAGGGCTGCTGTGGGGGAAGTAGCCCAGGGAATTGTACATGTCATGTTTCTAAAAGGTCAGCTACCATAGCTGATACTATTAGGGTCCCTGGGCTGGAGCCCGGAGTAGAGGGTGGGCCTGGGCTCCCCCCCCCCTTTGCCCCCTGATTAATCACTGAGACTGGGAGACAACAGAGACTGTGCAAGGAAGGATAACTTCTTCTCACCTCCCTCGCTGGTTTATGATGAAAATGGCTCAGTAGAGTGTGACCCTTGTCTCTAGAGAGAGAAGGGTTACGTGGAGGGTCACAGTGAGCCTCTGAGGCTAGTGAAATCCGCCAGGAAACATGGGACCCACGGAGGCAAGGACAGAGCTTTGTCACATAAGAGACTGTGCCATTGTTTGTGTTGCATTCCAAATGTGAATTCCAGCATTTATCTGCGTACGCTCCAGCTGCATTCACGGCCTTCTAGGTAGCTGTACTGAATGGTGGAGGGATTAGTTGGAGCAGGCTGGCAGAGCAGGCAAGAGATGCATGTGTACTTTGAGGATGGTTTGTTTTCAAATATAATTTTGTGTCAGTCAGTCAAGGCTTTCCCCTGCCCAGGTGGTGTCCTCAGAGCGGAGGGCTTCCCCCTCTTATATGCAGTCTCCTCACCACATGCCACACCTTCCTCTAGCAGCAGAAAGTGAGGACCATTGCTTCTAGAGCCTACCTACATCAGATGTGCCTCTACCAGAAGGGGTTGCTAAGGAGCAGCATACAGCCTGCTATTTCAGGACACGCTCCATTTGCTCATGGGATGGCAATTGTTCATTAGACTGCCCGCCCAGTCCAGCCGGCTGCAGTTATACAGCCTGTGTGCATTCTGAAAAAGGATCAGTGAAGCTCTGTTTGGAAAATGTCCTTGCTTCACAGCACATCTCAGGCGCCCCAGTGCAGCCAACGGCAACCATGCAGGAGCAGAGCTGGGTGAA